TGTCGTTTTCCCTCCTTCCCTCCCATGTCGCTTCCTCGCGCTAACTCGCTCTGCATCGCTCCGCGCGAAACGTCGGTCGGTTGGGTTGCCTACATACAGGCGTGAAATTCCAGAAGATAAATTTGGTTCTGGCGCCCTTATTTTAGATTTCCGACCCCAAGTGTCCTATATCAAAATACTCCCCTAGGCACCCCCTATACGCTCCCAAACGGTGGCAGGTACTATAGGAATCACCCTGTAGATTATTTTCCATTTGGACAAAATCGCTCCGTACATTTTCCAAATAGGTGCATTTTTAATTCGTGGTTGCTATGGAAGACCACTAATATACAAATCTTGTCAAAATAAGAGTGATCTGGTATCTTGCCTACATTTGTTTACACGGTTATCCTACATCCAGACTTCTTTATCACGAGTTACTCTACGTCAAAGGTAACAAGAAATTTGTTAGGGGAAACAAAAGGTTTGTTGAACGTCTAGAGCAAATCATACAATCAAACTACGACATTTTCTTCCCATCGTTCTATTTGATTACGTATTCCCCCGGATGTGAAATGTCTCCAATTCTTTTACAGCACCATATGAAGTGGTAAACAATTTTGAAAAGTAGTGGTAAGCATTAACCACATTTCAAAGACAAAGAGGGTTGGTGCTGTATCATTTATTTTTTGCCGTAACCTAAATAAACCTCAAAGCAATACTTTCCCTTCAATCCACTTCCACCGAGTTATAACAAGGGAATTAAATTCATTTACATTATTTTACTACCTGAAATTTTTTTCCGCGGCGCTACGTGTGAAATACGTTTTTTCGACTACAGCCAACTTTGATTAAGTCGTAAATGACGTAAATTTTCCTCAATTGCTTGCAACAAGGGCTTTTCTACGTGATGTAGGTAAAAATTAATTTCGAAGTAATTAAAATTTTGTGATTGTCAGTAAAAATTAATAGTGTATGACGGCGTTGAGCTAAAGCTTTAAACATCCAAAGCAACCCTGGAGCCGTTTTATGCACACGCACACATTCGCACAGCTGTAAATTGGGTCGGTCCATGTCACACGCACCGTAGGGTAGGTTCGCTTACTACCCCGCGACATGCGTCATGACTCCATGGAACTGTAATGCTGCAAGTTCGGTATAGCATCCCGTATTCAGTCTGCTTTAAAATTATTCTTTTCATTGGAAAAGCACGATCAATACTAAAGCTTTTAAAGAGTAAAGCATACAGGTGCTGGTACAATATTTCATTACATTTTTTTTAATTTCCACAAAAATTTGCACGTAGATAAACTTAAGGGAAGTTTCACGAACTTTTATTTATAGATATCACACAATAAAAAAAATTCACCCCACTCGACTACCTTTTTCTCTAAATTCGGCGCTATTTTTAAATCCGCCGACTAAATTTAGATCATGCTTAATTCCGCAATGAGAGGCGTAGGTATATAGTTTACAAACGCGAGAGAGGCTTTACTTGTTGTTCGAACAACCCCCAATTGAAATTGATAAGAAATACCTGCCAATTCGACACCTAATGTAGATGAGTAAATACATGAGGGGGTTCACCGCACTGAATTTTACAAGGGTTGGGGAGGGCAACACACCCTGAGGATAATTTCATAATTAGTGTTCATGTTCTGGTTTACACCTTATAAACGGCCCACCTTCTCACTGATGGTGAAAGTTCTCGTTTTTAGATTTCCTCGTTGCATTTTGCACTCTTCTGTCTCAATAACATTTTCCACAGTAGACTGTTTAATTTTTCTCAGTATATCGGTAGCTTCTACGAGTATCAACTATAGGTAGTTAGTTAAGGGATGAAAATCAATACATGGCGTGAAATGACTTCGGGAAAAAACCCAATCTTTGTCATACTTATAAGAACGAGAAGTCCACGGTTTGATGATTCAAAGTGAAAATGCGATGACAAACTCATGGGAGGTGAGCGTGAGGTACGAAACCTCGATATCATGTGCTATCATCGATAAATGCGCACTTTTCCTAAATCACAATCTAAAGTGGAATAGTGTACGTAATTGATTGAGATACCCAAATATCAACAAAAAAATCTGCTGTTTTTTTAATCATTTTCAAACATTTAGTAATTTATTATATTATGCAAGACAATAAAGGGATATTTTAACCATTGAGTGAATGATGTTAATTCACGAGATGGTTAGTTTCCCTTTATAGTCGTGTATAATACAAAAATTTATTTTATAGCAGAAGCCATATAAATCATTGTAAAGCTTCTGATAATTCTGAATTTAATTTAAAAACGTCAAAAATGGGAAGCTTAGGTTCTGCCGTCGCGATCGTTTCCATAGAAACAGAATTATCAAATGTTCTCAACGTCATTTTATATCGTGCATTTGCAATAAGAATGACAGATGTTATTAGAATGCACAATCATTTGTTTCACTTTATCTACCCTTACGGTTAAAGTGATCACTTTATCTATCCTTACGGTTAAAAAACGGCTTAGCCTACTCATTCACACCTATTTAAATGTCAATTTAACATATGATATAAAACGAGGTATAAAATAAAAGAATAAATTCGACTAAGTGTTTTAAAAATTACCTACAGAATATGTCAATACTGGAACTGTTGCAGTCCTTAACAAAAAGTTTGTTCTTCTAATCTAGACCGAATTTTCAATTTTTCTAAGCAGAATGTTAGTCAATATATAGATACCGTAAACTGCAAAACTGCACATTTAGCCTAATCTCTATATACAGGGGTACATTAAAAAAATGTATTTATTGAATATCTTTATAGCCCGAGGTGTAATTCTTTTATTGATCGTGAAAAAATGTTTCAGATTTGCTCATTTAACCAACAACGTAGTTGGAATAATAAGGTTAGCAATAGCTCCGACTTCACTTTGTACACACTGTGTCCAAGATAAGGGTGTCATCATAGGGATACCGAAACCATTGCGGATCCGATGATGGTCAAATTAGAGAAAAGATGACGGCATGCTTTAAAGAAAACCAGAAAATCCCGGTTACTTGTAAAGATATTCAGAAAAACCAAACTTTGCCAATTTCGATTTAATTTTCTTCTGATGTTAATTCAGGTACAGAAAAATAGATATCACTTTCTAATTGCCACTTTTTGAGCTGTATAAGACACCATTAAAAGATTTCCAATCCAATGTTTAGTTCTGGAGAAATCATTATCAACTTTAGTTTTTTTTAATTTTCCCTCGAATGTCCCGTAAAAAAGTAAATGTATTGAATAGCATTTTTATCACGAATATAGCGATATACGGAATACACAAAAAAATAAAAGAGGGCAATTGTTGGTTTCAACAGGACGGTGCACCCGCGCACAACACCCTAACCGTGCGAGAATAGGTACCTATGGGACAAATTTCTTGGAAAATGGAAAATTTCTCGGATAGATATTCTCGCACGATTACGCCCGTTGAAACCAACAAATTCCAACTTTTGTATTTTTCTGTGTGCCATACATCGTTGTATTCTAGGTTGTCTAACCAAAATTAGTAGTTTATTATTATAGTTTATACTTGCTTTGCGGACCATATACAAAAATAAGGTTGTTGATAATTTCTCCCAAATAAAACGTTGTATTATTATATTGAAATACTCGGAAGTAATCGGAATTTTATGGTTTTTTTAAAAGTATGATGGTAAGTCTCATGATAGACATTCTTATCTTGGACAGTTTTAATTTTCATTGTTTTGTTGCCTCGAATAGATTTTGTTTTTTTTAATTCATCACAGCCTACTTGATTAATATATAAAAGCCGTTGATGTAACTGGTATCTTATGCTATGATAGCTCATTGAAAAGAGAATTAAAAAATCTATCACATCTAAAAATCCAATATAGCGCCTATTTAACTTTAGGAAGTTGGTAAATGTTCCTCAAAAGTAGCCATCTTGAATTTTTTTAACATCAATTCTAAATGAAGCGTAACAGTAACTTTTATATAAAACTTTTTTTATATCTTATACCTCATCTTATACTTTCGATGATAAGACATCAAAAGAAACGTCAAATGACCAATTTTTCGAGCCTATTCGACATTTTGAATAAAATTACTTTCTTACTTGTTATAAGGATATAACGCAGCGCCCATGTTTAATGTTTAAACTTCGTCATTTTTTCTATTTATGAAGATATTCCTACGCTTTTATTATAAAGATGCTTGTCTCATTGTCCATATAGCTATTCGGGAAGTACTGGTCTGTGCATGGAAAATGCGCTAAAGTTAGGAACTTCGCAAATAAATTCGCTTCCAAAAACTCCCTCCCAAATTGGCAGTAAGCCCTTGTCGTGGCTTTGGTGAACTGCAAGGGATTTCAGAATTGAATAACTGACGATAGTTATCAGTTGCTCCCTAGATGTCTTAGGGGAGAGCTTTTTGGAAGACAACCTTACCATCAGTTCTCTTCGATAAGAATTGTCCTTAGGGGTAAATAGGTTTGCTTTGGATGCATTTTTTTTTTGGAAACGAATTTAACTGAAAAACCGTCTTGGAGATGAATATTTTTTTAATTTTTATTCATCGACGCAGACCTGAGCTAATGAAGAGAAAGAGATTTAGCTACAAATCGCAAAGATACTATTTTGGAACAGAGACTCGTTATACAGTAGTAGTAACAAGTCTCTGTTTTGGAATAGAATTTTCTCGCGCTCATTGCAGCGTATATAACAATTTGTACTCAACGAAAAGACAAATTGTAAAATAAAAACGGAGCTTAGGGACGTATTCCAGTTATAAATGCTCTTGATGAACGCATTGTTGACAGATATTTACTTCATGCATCTCATTAAATGAGTTTGTAGTCATTAATCATCAAACATAACAGTTCCAGTGTTAATGACAATTGACAGTTGCTCCCCAGCTACATTATTTTGTTTACGCTGGAAAATAAATTGGCACAAACAAATATTTCTTCTAAAAGTCTACCAACCACCACCCGCCACCACCAAAACAAAAGATTACAACACAAAAATAAGACTAACCTTTTTCTCCGTGAGCTTCTCGCACCTCCGCTGCTTGCAGATTTGGTGACTTTTATCGTTTCTGCACGGTGCACAATCACCACAATTGTCTTTCCTTTGGCATCCGATGCATTCGCCGCACCGTTTCCGCTTCTTCTTGACTTGCTTGTCGGCATTTCCACCACTTATCTCGTCGGCTTCCATGCCACTACCCCCGGTGAGAACGTGATGGGACGACTTGAATCCCGCGGTACTAGAAATGGACGCGACCTGTCCGGAATTTTCCGAGCCCATATCCATGTTACTCGACGCACCATCACTTTCCGCCGAACTCTCTAAACTCGAAGCGCGAAGTTTTCTGCGCTCTTTTTTGCGAAAATCGTTCCTCGTCGGCGAGTCCATTGTCGTATTCATACCGTTCAATTTTTTATCGAGTCCGTTATACATGCCGTTATTGTCTAAGACGGTAGACATGGGATTTTGAAATTGGGAATGGTGTAGAGCTACGTTCTGGATTTTTAAGTCGGACTCCTGTAAGGTACCCAATTTTAGGTCCGTTACATTCGCCGGTTCCGATTTTAACACCGTCACTACCGTTGGAGTCGTGATTATTTGATTATTCTGGAGTATGGCACCATTTTGAGTAGGGAATATTGTGGCAGAATGTATTGTGTTGTTTAAGGTGGTGAGACTAGTTGTTGGGTGGGTGTATAACTGAATGTGGCGTTCATCTAAAAACTGTTGCTGGATGGACGGGATTTCTCTCGCTTGTATCGGCGCCGGAACCAGAGGGTAATTACGGGTATTAACTGCACTTAGGGTATGAAAACTGGAATTAAGAGGCGTGAGGTGCCCACCTGGACTAGAATTTGGGGAGACTGGTGTGAGATTAGTTAGTGTGGTTAAGGTAGGCTCACTGCTGGTAACTACGGTACCTTCGTTAAAAGTCTGAAATTGCGACTGAAAGGAAGGAAGCTTTGGTACACCGTTTTGTGAAAAAGCGTCTGCGAACGTACTGATAGGCGCTGAAGGCGTAAAACGTAGAGATTCTTGCGATGTCGAGTCGATCGGCTTTGATTCCCAAGGTCTGTACTGAGGCTGAGATGAAATGACGGAAAGGCCATTCTCGGATCTATCTAACAGTCTGGTTTCTCCGTAGTAGTCCCAGCTCGATATATCCAGTAATCTCGCATCAGTAAACAATCGATCTGAACCAAAACCCGCGCCGCCGTCCAAATCGCCGGAGAACGTCGAAAATGGCGGCAGGTGAGAACCCGGCACATCCTGCACCGTGGAGCTTGGCGTTGCCGATGTTGGTGGATACGATTGCGCCAGGTTATACCCGGAGCCTAGATTCTCCGGGTCCTGGCTCAAAGTTTCGCTCATCCTACCATCACGTTTTCAACCTCATTTTGAGCAATTTATCTCCGTTTTTTGACTTTACGCACTAATTATAACAGAACTTAAGTTATTGTCATTTTCATCCTGAATTTCGCTGAGATACGTTATGTGAAGCCGTGGAGAAGAAAGTAGTAAATAATTCAGCCTTATATTTGTACTTTTCGGATTTTGTACTATGAGTTTAAATGTGAGTTTCATATAAAAATAACGTCTCTTGCCACTTTAACCTCTCGTATAAAAATATCTGGAAAATAAAAACTTTTTTAGTCATTTTGAATTGGGCTTTTTGTGTTTATAGTACAGGGTGTCCCAATTGCGATGTTCCGTACATCTTTCTACCATAAGTGATAAATCAAAATATCCGAGAATGCAAAAACGGATAAATACGTTTTTCCTATCGAGACATCGGAATGAGTACACCCTCAGAACGTGCAATGGTGGTTGGCAATTACCGTCGCTTGGAAAAGTTTGCCCCCGCCCCCTTCCGTTACTCCAGTTAGAATGTTGGTCAAAATGGTACCACCATTTCCAAGAGAGGACTGCAACGGCGACACCCTAAAGTCTATTTACATCAGTAACTACCCGCTAGTTTTTAATCATCTATGTCTCTAAATAAGAACGGGATTGGTACATTTAAGTAGTTTTGTTTTAGTGTTATATTCACTATACAAGGCGTGTAAAGAGGACCGATTATTACGAGGATTATCATATTGAAAATTAATGCGAATATATCGCGAAACCGAAACGTTTTAAAAATGTGGGGGGTAACACATGTTCCCCTTCATGGTATTTTAATGAAAGGACCCATTGAAATAAATTACTTTGTTCAAACTATAACTTTCCTGGACGACTCCTTTTCAAGATCAGTGGCTGACGGAGGGGGGGGGCGAATTTGATCTGTCATGATATTCTAATTAAAGGTCTCAACAAAACTGTTCTATATCAAAACCACCGCCCTTCTTACTGGCTCTTTATCAAAATAAGGTGGTTGGGGGGAGGGGAAACATGGCGGTCTAATGAAAGGTCTCAATAAAGAAATTAATTTCTAACAACTTCTTCTCTTTGACCCCTTATCGTGGTCGGTTATAATTCATTATACCTTAAGGGCGGATTATCGGAGGAGGGTATTCACAAAAAAAGATGGAAGAAATATATACAATGGTGATGTCAAAACTTACACAAGGAATATCTCGAAAACGGTTTGTCGGAGGAGAGTATACTTACAAGGCAAAATGAATCGTCTGGACGAAAGAGATCTATTGGTGAAGTGGAGGCGAATATCTTGAAAACGAAGTGTCGGAAGAGGGGACTCATAAAGGGCAAGTGGAACGTCTGGACGAGACACATCTACTGCTGATGTCGTAAGGGTGAAAAGATGGTCTGAACCGAGGTCTGAAAGAGACACTTCACCTGACGATGTGAAAACTTCATTGTGAATTTCTCGAAAAAATTTGAGGGGAAAACAATATTTTGGAGAATTTGTCTAAGGACTTGACTCTTCTCGCATTATATAACGTAGATTTTGAATGTGTGTCAAGTGACCATTAAATGTTTATGCGCCCCCTCCCCATTAATCATCTAGCAAAAAAGTACACATCGATAAATATAGCATGCTAGTACCTTATCACCCGACCCAACTATTTATAGAGGTAGATTTGTGCACAATTTATACTTGTTTTAATTCAATTACAGTTCTGGCCACCGAAAAAAAAATATAAAAAAATAATTTATGCGAGACGTTTAGTTAACTAGCAAGTTCCAAAAATGTTTATGAAACGGTTTCTGAGACCCACAAAATGTTTCCAAGAGGACGTTTTTCACTACGGTTTCTGGTAGGGCAGTACTTAGGAAATTTCGAAAAGACAATCAAGAAGGTGCTTTCTGAAGTGTTTAAACATCATGTTAAGAAAATTACAAGCAAGAAAATAAAAAAAACGGACTTTCCGAGAAATTTCTATATGAAACTAGAGGAAAAAGATGAAAAGATCAGAAAGGTTTTCCTAGAAAATTACACAAAGGTTCTGCGAAACTTTGGAATACCTTTAAAATATTATTTCCTCGATTATTCCTAGGCCACAAGTTCAATGGAAATTGCCAAGCTTCGAAAACGATTCCTAAAAAACTTTCCAATAAGAATTTTTAAAGGTTTTTGTTTCTTTAAATTTCTGTGATCTGAGAAATTTCAAATAATTATTCTATTAAAATTTAATAGCGTATTTCTAAGAAAATCCCAAGGAAGTTTTCCAAGAACAATTTTAAAGACCATTTCGAGAGAATATAAACCTTAACGATATATCCCAAATTTGAAATATGCAGTTTTTAAAAAAGGTGGCTTCTAGGACACTTTTTAGAAGTTTCCGAGTATGTTTTCAAAAAGGTTTCTAATATTTCTAGGGTAGGAATTAAAATCTTGGAAGGCGGTTTATTAGCAATTAAGTTTTCTAAAATCTTCCAGGATTCCTAAAACGGGGGTTAACCTTAAAATTATAATACCCCCTCTCCTCCCTCCCGCCATAGTGTGACATCAACTTAATCATTTGAATGGATTTTTTGTTACTTTCTACTATTTGTTGTTTATTTGTTATGTGAATTTTGGATGGAGTGTGTGAAATTAAGGTACGAATGAATGTCCCAAACAATTGATGAAGATCCTCATTTTTCCACAAACATCTGCTTCAGCGACGATTGTAATTTTTCTTCGAACGGGCCAAGCACAATTCTAAGTAGATTTGCCCGCAATTTCCGCAGACATTCAATATTTGGCCAGGTGTCCTCTGAAATCAAATTAGTGGGCCGATATTCCTAGAAGGAGATTTTAACAGGGGAGTTATACCAGAATCCATTACAAGAGCACACACGCAATCTTTGGAAAAAATAAATAAATAAAAATAAATATTCGACTGTATTATTGTCTGTGTACTAATGAAGATCATGTTGAGCTTGACATGTGTAAAATTCATTTGTTTTGCATTTGTTTTGGTTTTTTAAAATTAGCTAATTCAACCTGGCCATCCAAATTTAATTTTGCGGAAAGAGAATTGTGTGGGCTTTAAAATCACTCGATGGAGAGCATATTATAATTTTCAAGTTGCTTAATCATTTCACTTGGTCAAACTGCATTTCTGATGATTTTTCTTCCCAAAAAGGTTTCTAATACAGTATACAGCGTGTAAGAGAATTCCGAGGATAATTCCTACAAAGAAAGTCAAGTTGATGGTTTTTAAGAAATTTCCCAGGAGTTATCGTAAGATTGCGAAGATTTTACTGAAAACACGAACGGTTAAAGAGAGATCAAAAAAATAAAAAATACCGCTTCTTTAAAATCCACAGGGAATCCAAATGACCCCCGAGGCAAAATCCATACTGGCGAAAAAATCTTAAATCAAAATACCCCACTTTTATTAAACACGCTTTTCACTGGTCGGTACTTTTAACTAAAAAACTAAGCTCAAATCTCGGCTCAAATGTTAAGGTAGGTAAGTCTTGGAAAACGTACAATAGCCCAATAGGTACCTATAATATAGTTTTCGCGAATAAAGATATCAAGAAATTGGCTGTTGAAAAGCTAGCGATTATTAATGACAAATTTTGAATAATTTCAATTATTTGTTCCACGCTATAAGCTATTATTAAAATTAAACAAAGAACCAGATCATATCCGTACATTAGAAAAACCTCCGTTTTTATGACCAGTGAAAAGCATAATTAATAATCTTTCCATAAAGGTATAAAGTGGGCTATTTTAATTGAACATTTTTGCTTCAGTATCGATTGTGCTTAAGGGGGCGGTGGGGGTAGTTTAAAAAATAAGTCATTTGGCATTTTTAATTTTTTGATACGAGTATCTCTTTAATAAAAAAAAATTATAGCCATTGTAAGTTGTCAAATGCCACTGTATGTGTATTACATATACTTACTTGTACATAAAATTAAGCATATCTTAAAATCTCGCTTAAAATACTATTACAGTTTGAGACTTTGCATACATATAAGCTTTCCAATGAGTTACAGATGATTAAAAGCGAGTGAGTAGTGTATCGACAAATGGTAATTGTTGTAATCCTCCACCAGAAACACAGGAGGGTGGTACCATTTAGATTTTAAGACCAAGAAACAAAATTTTGCAAGCATAGTATCTAACTGCCAACTACAATTTTTACATGGGATTACTATTTCATGAATTTAATGTACGACGCTTCCAGCATTTTTTCGTTCAAAACTTGAAGGCTTTTAAAATAGACTACCCTATATAGGAACAAAGTTTGGCCAAATTTGTTTCGTGCGAAGAGTCCTTTTTAAAAATAGAAGGGAAATAAAAATAGAAGATGGGCATCACGCATAATGATATTCTCTTCGAGCTTTCGTTAAATACGAGATACTTACATTGAACTGCTTAAATTGAAAAAGACAAAAAGCACCTTTCAATAACGCATTTCCTTGTTCATAAGACGGGTCACGGTCGTAGAGCTTTCGTAACGCAGGCGCAAACTTTCGCGGTCGATCTGGCTAACGTGTATAACGCATACCGAACTTTCCCAATCTCTGTACCAACTCACCCCTTCGTGAAAAACTTTCACTTATTATTGTACATGAAGCTCTACCTGTTACATTAATTGCAATTTTTTCCAATTCGATTTTTCAGTTCAATTTGTATCATGCAAAATCAAAACGCGTCAATTAATCCCATAATTGAATTTGTCGCTTTTCTTTGACAAGAGTTAATACGTATTTAAGATACAATTATAACCCAAGTTAAAATACGCAAATTATCTAAATTGAATTTGTTTAGTCAATTTTGGCCGTCCTTTCAAATCACAATTACAAATTGCCTTATTTGACTAAAAATCCCGCGATCGATAAAACTTGCGAATTTAAACGCGGATGAAAATTTTGGGTATTAGTAATAGGCATCATTCATAATTGCCGCCATGTTGTAATTTCGCCCCGAGCTGTTTTTAATTTTTAATCAACCCCGCAAATTGTCGCCGAACGAAAACTATTAATTAAGCTTTGGCGCTGTCGAAAAACGGTCGAGCTTAATCAACGCGTTTGGTTAACTCTAGGTATAGTTATGACGGGGTGTCATTCGCCATCATCCCCTTCATAAACGCTAAACTGGGAAATATTGCAAATCGACCCGATTCGATTGATTTAACGTCGTATTGTTGTTTATTAAAATTTGGGTAACCCTTACTTAATTTCGATAATTTATGGCATTGGGGGTGTTGATCGAAAATATGGGTTGACGCGGTTGCAAACTGACTAATACGGGTATTTTCCGACGACGGCGATGAACGCAATTGGTCATTGCAATTCGATAATAGACGACTTGCGGGAAGCGTCGCAATATTAAATTTTTCAAATTTGACAGATTGGATTTTTAAGAAAACACGATTCGGGGGTGGCAATGAGTGCACTGAAGCGAAAAAGGGAAGTCAATGGCTCCTTAAATAATTAATAAAGAAAATCGTGATACCACTAACCATGTGTAAACAAAAATAAAACACACACGCACACCGGCACACACGCGTAAAGCGAAATAACGACTGACGCTACGCTTTACGCACAGTTTGCAGCTTTCATGTCTCGCGCTCACATCTGCCATGCTTTGCGCCAATCAGCGTCGCGCTTTGGCAACGTTTTCGGTGGCGCTCGCTAAAAGTCGCTCTATTTATTGTCAGCTTTCGCTTTCATGATTTTCCCAGTTTGTCACTTTTTAGCACGGATCTTGGCCCTTTTATCATAAAAATAGATTTCTTTATGGTATTTACGTGAAAAAAGCTGCTTAGACTTTTATTATATCCATCCACCACGAAGAGAAATTTTCATTCACATTTTTATTACGGACGTAAAATAATTAAACAAAATTATCTTTCCGGACGATCATTAAAAAGCTGTTAAGTTGCCCAGAAGCTTCAAATTTGAAATGGATCTTTCTTGACAACCAAACCCTATAACTTTTTCCCCGAGCTTTTTAACTCCCTCATTGATTTATAATCAAAAGTGTTGGTACAAGGAGAAAATGGGTGATTCTGGAATTTCCTTTTTCATTTCGAATTTTATTGATATGTCTTACTCCAATTTTCATTTCTCATATTGTTACACCATAAGCTGTGCAGTTTGCGCTGTAAATTGCACGCCAATGTGTACTTTCCATTAGTTTGACAGTTTTTCTTTGGTTGAAAGTTATCCCAAATTGTTCGCTTCATCATTCCCCTGACTTTTCTTTCCATCATTAGCGAATATGCAATTTTCAATTAAACTGTGTTAGTTTCGGAATAAATAAGAAGGTTTAAGAAAACCATCCGTTGTTAACTTTGCAACATATTAGAGTAGTGAATATGAATACCCAACTCCTAAGTTTGCAACAAAAGTGTAACACACGAAAAACCGCGACATTTTCGGACTTTTTTCAGTTTTTGCTCTATATTTTCTATAAACTATACAACCGTGCAACTTTCGCACACGAAAGCCACTAGGTATATATGTTTTTGGAGAGCATTAAATACGTAACGTCAATTAAGTAGTTACCGAATTACGGCACTTTGAAAGTAGGCTATTTTTTCCGAAAAGTAAGCTCTTTAGCTTTAGACCTTCCCTTTAGACCGAAATTCGGCTAAACCTTTCATCCTACGAGTGGAACTTATAGAGAACAGGCAATTTATAACTTCAAATTAAGCGCAAAGAGGAGTCTGTACGCCTCGTAGTTTTTCCAAAAAACTTACATAAGGTAAAATTGCCTTTTCCCAGAAATGTTCCAAAACAGCTGCGACTTGCTAGTATGCGCAATGGAAGCAAAACTCTTGCTTGGTTCGCTATTAGGGCTTGATAGTTGATGCTGTCTCAAGTGGCCCCACATTTTCACTTTCCTCTGCCAGAAGAGGGCAGAGGTGGGGGTCACACCCAGTAAATGCGTTGATGAACAGTTCAAATCCAGGTGGTACTTCCACTTCCCCTTGATTGAACGAACTGGTGGGGAACTGGATACAACTCGCCTTACGCCTGACACTTTTCTGGAAGTTTATGTTTGTTTTAGTGGATCCTAGACCGCATAAGAGCATGAGTAAATCAAAAGCCTCTCCAACGATGATAGCGTGGTCATTGGAGGTGCTTTTTTGCTTATTATGCCTCAATCCCCTGGAGAGCAAAAGCAGAACAGAGTTCGAGAGCATGTTCTCTTGAGGAACTGTGATGATGGACGCTGCGTTAAACACATTTTCCGCTAATGCTGCAGAATACTGTCGTGACCGCTTTGCAAATTTGGTGCTGTTTTGGGCGCCACCCTCAGGATATACCCATCAAAAACTACACATACATATTTTTACAATATGCAATGTGCTTGTATTATTCACTAGCAGCATCTAAGTAATATATACATAAACAAGAAGTTGACTTTGCACATGCGATGCGCACATCTGATTTTTACAATATGCAATAGGGTTGTCTTTACTAGAAGCATCTGTGGTTAAAATTTCAAAGAAATATCTCCATAAATACATAGGTACGTACATACAGACATTTTTACAACGCACTTTTTTGGACTCATGTGTCCTTGAAACGTAAAGATCCGCGGAAATCTCAAAATCCAAATTTCGAGTGATTTCAATATCTAACCTTCCAATTTTTTATAAGAAATATACCTACCACAAATACTTGATGAATCTACTAATAGGGAACTACTAGAATTATCGGGGGTTATGTAAGTGATTTTAAAATTTTTTCTACTTAGAATTACGTGTAGGATCTTTGACAGCTTTCCGTAAATTTGCATTTCGTCTGGAAAATTCATTAAATTTTCCAACCTTGAGCAGTAGTTGCTGACCTCTTGACAATAAAGCGCCGGTGCGGCGGTCCATCAGTGTACGTGAAGCCTATATAGAAACATCAGTTGGAAACAAGAAACGCCCAGCGTTCTTGGAGGTAGCTGGAGTTGGAGTTGATACCATAACAAGTGCTTCCAACAGTTTTTCCAACCAAGCATTCTTGAAGAAGAGATTTTGAATACTGAAACTACAACAGCCTAATTACAATGGAACAATATTAACAAAAATGTAGCTCAGGCGACCTGGTATTATCATTAGGTAATTGGCGTAATGGTACGAGTATTATTAATATATTTTAATTTACGAGTAAGTTTAGTTTTTGTTCATTTTATTATGTAATTTGCATTTTAATAAAATTTAAAATTGTTCAGTTTTGAGAATTTTCCTGTAATGAGGGTCATTATTTAACCATTTTACTACGTTGACGTCGGAGAGAAGAAGCTGCAGGACCAAGTTTGGGCGTGCCATTTTTCTGCGGGTGTCCCGTGTCAGTGGTCTCAGTTTTACTTGTGATATGTGTGTGTGAACCCCTTTTGGATATTTTGTTATTGAAGGAGAAGAACTGTAAATAAGAGGATTGATTCGAAACCTTTTTTCGGTTTTTTGACCATAACTTCGTTGTCTGTAGAGCTTCCAGGACCTCTGCAAAGGAAAATTAATCTAAGTACATTAAATTTTACAATTCTTTGCCCATTTAAGTGACTTTGAATCTCCTACGGTTAACGAATTCCCCATACAGCCGCTTAGCTCGAAATAAGAGTACAGATGAACCGACAAACAGACCGATAGATCGACATCATCGAGATTTTGTTTGATTCTGATTCCTGGGGCTTCAAAGCGTGTACTTTCGACAAAAAAGTGAAGGGGCATTTCATACCCCAATACATTACCTTCCTTACGTGCGGGTGGTAAAACCGAATATTTATATGATGTTACCCAAAATCGTCCTGAAACCTTCATTTTCATGCCTACTTTCTGTCAGGAATTTTAGTTTCCATGACAGAGGCAGGGCAGACTCCGTTTCCTGTCGCTTGTCACTTTACTGGCCCCACCTGTCACTTTACCGGCCGCATTTTTGACATTGCTAAACGTCTATAATGACTCCTGTCATCATTGACAGATTGACATTAATCAAAAGTTCTATATGAAAATTGAAATTTTATATTAAAAACCGATTTCGGGTAAAATTTAATACAAAACTCGTCAGTAAAATGACATTACCTGATTACTTCCAATATTTCCTCGCCAGTAATGTATCATTTACCTGCCTTTTATATAAATATACCTAATATAACTATTGTTAATGCATTTTCTCATTCGCTTGCCGATAATTCGCCCACGAAATTTTCGCTCCTTGACCTGCGACCTGCAAGAATTTTCGTCGAAATTATTAATTCCTCTCAGGAAATTCATCGTTTCCAGAATACCAGCTTCGGTAAAGTTTACCTACTCATATAACATCGTATAATGTACCTTCACTATTTCCCACCATGTATTCGCCCTTGGTATATTGGAATGCATTAAAACCTCGAACATGTCCTTAGCCATACCAGAAAGCTTGCACTCAGAAGATTCGCTTCCCCTGCTTCCAAAACACTCACAAAGAATTCATGTTCGATTTAAAGGGCAGTCAAAAGAGATTTGCCCTTCGGTATTCCAAAGGCGAGTTCTGCTCATTGAATATGGTGTAGAGATATACTTTTAGTGTAAGAAAGACAGGTTTCTACGATGTTCCGTTCTTAAGACCTGGACCGCGTGAACGACCGATAGTGTGAGAAAATTTTTTTGCTAGCAAAAATTCTTTGAAACTTGATTTCGAGGTAATACTGCCGCAGAACAGAACATGTAACTTTCGAATTCGGATTTATTTAGTAAAAAAATAAAGTTTCATTGATTCATTCAAATTTGACCCTCCCCTCTCCCTTGTTGTATTAGTGTTTGAAGTACCTACTCCAGTATTTTCCGTAAAGAATGATGCTTTACGAGATGGAAGAATTTTACCTTAATAAGGAGAATGAGAAAAACGTACCTACCACAAAAAAACAGTTTGAATAATCTTCAGCCATTTATAACGTGCCGATGCTACATACTGGTGGCGATGAGTGGATCTGGTAACAATAAAATAGGTGTTGCTCTACGGCGATCTCATAAACCATCTGAAGAATGAAGAACAAGAATATACGGGAATAGAGGAATCTTTATTAGACTACACTGCCAATAATTTGGTTTTAAGCAACATCTATTACAAATACTTCAAATTTAAATAATTGCCTTTGTAATTAAGAACAGGAAAGGCAACAGAATGCACTGCAAAGCGGCTCGTGTGCAAGAGCTTTCATCGTAAAACCGCGCTGGAGGGGTGGTAGTAGTAATATTTGATTTAGCAGCATCTTCGGTGGAGGCGGCGGCACCGTCTTGCCCTTTTTCAGAGACAGTCGCAGGCTCCTCTGCTGCTTTCGCGGATGCATCGTCCTGTGCGCATATTGCTGGCAACGTCAGGGAGATTAAGAAGATTGTCAAAATTATTTTACAATTCATTTTGATTTCTGAAACATTTAAAAATTTATTGTGACCGCTTTACACAAATTTCACCCTTACCGCGTTGGTCGATTAATATCTGTATTTCAATATCTTCAGGACGGATTACCTAAATGCGCCTAAAATTAATGTTAAATTGAAGCTTGTAAAAAATAACGGACCTACCTTTTAGCAAAATTGCAGTTCTGTTTACCCTGACAACTGGCCAAGTTTTTGTTTTCAATTTACGTACTAGATGTAGGCGAGTAAAGATATAATATTACAATGCCGCCGCTTTTTTCCGGTTGTTGCCGCCAGAACATTTTCCGGGTTGTTTTGTTCTTTTTAACAAAACCGGCTGCACTGCTTGTAAAAGGATATACAACAGCCCTGCGATGGATTAAGGAATAGAAATACCACAGGACTGGTTGCGAACACAAAGAACTATGGAAAAAAACTTGTGAAGAAAGGCAAAACCTTCACATATTGTTTGTTCTCCAAGGTTCATAGAGATTTGAAAAGGGGATGGTGGCTTCCTGTAGTGACGATTATAATGACTCGTCGGGGCTAAAATTCAGACTGGTGGCGACGGAGGTAGTCGCCACGGACCAACCACCAAGTCAAGGTATTAGCGACCGTGACTGCGTGGCACTGGGCTACAGTGTCGATAACGGTGCCCCTCATAAGCGACCCAACGGCAGGGACCAAGCGTCTCAGGCCGGAGGGAAACTTTTCGAGGTCTGGCTCAGAGCAGCCTCAGCGAGAGCACCACGAACCTATGACTAAGTCGCTGCGGCGGCTCATGGTGGCTATCGTTCCGGTATGGCACCCGGAGGTGGACATCGCCGAGTCGAGGTGCATATGGCTGCATTTCTTGACGAGATCGGGGGGGGGGGGACTTTCCTCGGTTGGCAGGGTTCCTCCCTTTTAATAGGCTCTGGGATGGCGGGTTTTTTAAAGTACAGAGGCACCTCCCTATCGTAACCAAGATGATGGCTGTGTTAATCGGGCTCCCGGATGAAGCGCCTCCAGAGCAAAAATCCTGTTTTCAGGACGAGCCTATGGAGGAGGCATTGATGAGGCAACCTATCGGGCACTCCAGCGAGACACACGCGGGGGTCTCGCACGTCACTTTTGTGACGAAAGCGAGTGCTCCACCGGAGCAGCGGAACCCGCAGTGTCGTTGCGACGGAGGGGGCTCCTTCGTTATCGACATCGAATAGCCGTCGGGATTAATACCAGCGCGGTGCCTTCTGAGATCGAGAAAGATTACGACGTGCTTTTGGATCGTGCGTCGGCTTCATTAAGAGAGGGGGGAACTTAAAACATCAAGGTAATCTCCTTACAGAGGAATTTGCAGCACAGTACAAGAGGTAGGGCGTCAACTTGCTGTGGTAGACAGCCAACTGAATCCTAGGACTTGCATGTATGTCGATAGTGAATCGATTTGAATGGGGAGTAGCCCCTACCTTCATCGCAGCGCAGAGACAGGAGGTTATTGATCTGACGTTGGGCTCCTTCTCAAGTACTGACCTGATCGCAAGTTGGAGAGTGTCTGATGAACCGTTGCTATCGGACGGCATCAGGCATATATTCTTTTCAAACTAAACCTGGCATCCCACTGCGGGCCCTGTAGGTTTCTGGGACTGCTGTGGCGAAACTGCCAGAGCGGTTGGATGGCGACCACCTGTGCTCTGTCGGAAAGAGGGGCAGGTGGAAGTTAGCGACGCCATATAAACGTCAAGTGAGAACAGCGATAAACTGTGGACCTTTCGAGGAACGAAGAGAACACCTTGGTGGAACTCAGACCTGAAAAGGTTCATAATATAAGGATCGAGGTTCCCAGGCCATGCGAACTAAGTTTGCCTGCCGACTGGGCGTATAAGGACCACATTCGAAGGTCTAAACGAGGATTATGGAGCACCTTCTGTGGTAACATGGAGGGTCTTTTTGAAGTTAAAAAACTTCGTAAAAGTGGGAACACTGAGGCTATCATAACATATGGCAGGTTTACCGCGGGTGATAGGCTCTCACATGTTTCCTGGCAACACACTTTTCAGGCTCTGGAGACTAATATGTAACTTCACACTCGCTAAAAGGAGCTGCCCGATCCAGTGATCGACTGGAAAATATGTGCCCGGATGATTAACGAGAGATCTTTAGGTGAACTTTAAATAGATTAGTTGAGTTTAATATGGTAAGCTTAATTTTGGGTGCCAAGGGACAACAAAAGGGTTGGCTCCTGAAGCCATTGATGGGGTTTTCGTCAGGCCCGAGCCTGCCTTGGGAATTACTCTCTTTGTTGTCAGGGCCAGGATTAAAAACTGGGTGAGTCAATTCCAGGCTCAGTGGCAAAGCAAGCAACCGGACGAAGACAGTCTTATTAACAGGGTCCCTTGATAAATCTGCGTCTTCTAAGCTTCTAAATCTGCATAGAAGCCAAATTAGGAAGATTATGTTGTGGATGAGGAGGTTTTATTTGCCAACTGCCGAAATGGCACCCCGGACAGCCTGCCGGAATTTCGCACCCCCGACCGATTACCAAAATTTGTTTTTGCACCCCAGGACCAACTGCCAAAATATTTTCCCACGGCCCCCAGAATTTTCCCACGTCCAAGTGCCATCATACCCACTCTCGAGTGTCGAGACCTGCCATCAATAATTATAGTCTAAATTCTTGAAAATCCTTTATAATAATATTTTCTGTGGAGTTGTGATTTGAGAAATATTGCTTCACGGGGATGCAAATTTTGATTCGTATTGATTGCTTGTCCAAGAATTCAAATGCAACAACACTGGGAACTGGTAACTATATTTATTTCAGGTTGGTACTGTTTTTCTACCTAGATATTGACAAATTTGACAGTTCACCTTTGCGTAGTTTATTTTTAGATAAATAAAGACAGTAATGTTACTTTTTAATAGATAATTTTTCTTTAATTTTTAAGCTATAAATAAAAATTTAACGAATGGCATACGATTGCAGTTATTTCCACGGTATTTATAGGTTACATGTAAAATTGGTACGTTCCAAGATATTTTAGTGTCATTCTCAGAAAAAACCTTCATTTTATTTACAGAACCGAATTAATCACAGACACAATTTTTCCATAATGCACACAAATAATTTCTGAGTACAAGTTACGATGCCGGAACAGTTTATAAAAGTGAAAAATCGCGAGGTACAGCCGACAAGTAGTGCCTTTTCCGAGACTGCTAAGAAACAAGATAACTCACGCTTTGGGTCATGCACAAACATATCAAATTCGAATAGTGATATTTGTCGAATATGTCATTGTGAAGCAGATTGCGGAAACCCCCTGTTATCGCCTTGTTATTGTGCCGGAAGTCTTAAATACGTACATCAGTCGTGTTTACAACAGTGGCTGGCCGCATCCGATACTAGATCGTGCGAATTATGTAAATTCAATTTTATTCTTCATACAAAAATTAAGCCGATCGCTGAGGTACGAACCGGTAATCTTATGTGATACAGTTAAACATGTCTTTTTATAGTGGAGAAGGCTCGAGATGACTAGCGTAGAGAGACGTAGACTGCTATGTGCCATATTGTTTCATTTTGTAGCCGCAATTTGCGTAATATGGTCATTATTTGTACTTATTGACAGAGCTACTGAAGAGGTTCAGAAGGGTCTGATTGGTACGGTTAATTTTCTTTATTTCTATCTACAGAAATTCAAAGTATTTCGAATGATTTTTGCTTGATGAGCTTGTGTAGGTGTCTCGATGGATTGAAGTTTCGATTTTCAATAATTTTACAGCATGGCCTTTCTGGACGAAACTTGTAGTTGTAGCTGTTGGATTCACAGGAGGTGCGGTTTTTATGTACATACAGTGTCGACAATACTTACAATTATTTTCTCGGTGGAAAGCACACAACAGGTAATACTTTTGTGTAATTTATTCATCGTTTATGGCAATACACCACATTTGATTATTTTTGTTTTATTTCCATTGGTTAGAACTGGTATTTATTATTTCATTCAAATATGCTAATATCAACCTTTTTAATTATCTAATTTGCCTTTTGTTAGTATTTTGCACTAACTAATACTTTAGAATTAGATAACTTTGTTGTTAATTAACATACAGAGTGATTCATTGGAAATGGATTTTAATTAGCTCACATTTAAAAGGAAGTTCGATTCTGCATAAGAGGGTACCATTTAGAAAACAATTGAACAAACTTAAAGGGGTCTTCCACATTCACTTGGAGTGTACACTCCTGCAAACAGACCAAGTTAGAACGTGGAAGTACCCATCGCGTAAAGTTTGCATTGTTCCCAGTGTGGAGCAATGAGTTGTACCGGGCTTGAATTCAAGTACTTTCTCTTTTGAAAGTATAGGGAGCCAACTTCATGCAGGCGTCTAAAGTGAATTTCGAAGTGAATTTGTTTATAGTTTTTATAGTAGATTGAGACTTTTTCATATTCCAAGTGACAAAGGAGTATTTGGGACCAAGTTTTTGGATTTCGGTTTCTCTAATAAGGTTTTAGTTGGCATTTTCTAATGATGGGTTTTTCCATTTGGTTTTGAGAAATGCACATTTTTTTAGAAAGAGTGAGAATCTTGGACAGCTCCTCCTCAGTTTTAAAACTTTCTGTAATGGAGTTTATGGCAAACTTGATGGTAAAAAAATTAAGAGTGTGCCAAAGGAATATTTGGGCCCATTTCATGGTAAAATTTTTGAGTTCTGTCATAAACTTAAAAGTGTTACAGGACCATAGCCAGGGTTTGGCCAGGTGGGGCTGTGGGAAATTACGGTGGATGGTTCTTTTATAAAAATTACTTCTATTAAGAAGAGCATTAGCCCTCCTTAGAAAAATACCGGCCATCCTTGCTACTTCATTCTGGCTACGGACCTGCACTGTTAATACTGTTAGATTTTTCAAATATTTCATAGTGTTCGCTAAACATTTCATTAGTCTCTCTCTATTTAAATAAAATGAATTGTGCAGATGCGGCACATCTGCAATGTTGAGTACCACAGGGTTCTGATTTAGGCCCTATATTTTTTCAATATACACCGCAAATATAATTAAAAAGCTAAAATGTTGCAAGTATCATTTGTATGCTGTGATCGCCAGAACTAATAAAGAACTTAATAAGCATTTAAACTATTATATAAATCCATAATCGTCATATTACAGTTTTAAACGATACATGTTTATACTGCTGCACAATAGAGGGCGCCTTTAAGTATACCTAAATTTGTTTCCCAAAAAATGCATAAGGTTAGCAATCTGTGTATGTTTAGATCTGTGCTATTACTAACTAATGTGTACAGTTTCCTAGTATGTTATTCCCCCTAGCCAATCTCTTCTTCTAAAATCTTTCCTTTCTTCTCCTCTACCTGAAATGCATCATGACAGGACACTGCCAACAAATTGTTTAATATAAACTAGTTTTATCATAGTCAAAAATTAATGTGTCAAATTACTTTTAGGATCATTTTAGTCCAAAATGCACCAGACAGTGCTTCCGAAAAAATTCCCATACAGCCACCTACTCCAAACTTCAATATAACCATACACTCATCGCCCGCACCGAATGAACGTTCCTCGCAAGTCATAGCAAGTATAGAATGCAACGCCTCGCCGCATTGCGATTCAAAAGAATCGACCTATAAGTTTGACGAACCGCCCACTCCTGCCGAAGATTTGTACTTAAATAATTACATGTCTCAACGTTTAGGTGAAGCGTGGGCGTCTCCAACTCCTTCGGATCATTTGAGCCAGACGGAGGAAAAAGAAACCACGAGTTTAGGTGATACGAGTTTCGACGCGCTCGAATTAAATATACAAGAGGTTTTGGCGCTGGATGTTGAACATAGTGCAAATAAATCCAGAATTGTTTCTGGACATTCATCCAGGTCTGAGAGTAAAAATAAAAATAAAGGTGTATTTAAATCATTGCCTAACTTAAGTGCCAGCAGTGAAAATTTGCTAGTATGAATGTTGATGCAATGAAATTGTGATTGAATTATATTTCATTATTGATTTTATAACTGCATTGTTGATAATTTTTTTTATATAATTATTTTATCGGTGATAATTGTACATAATATCTAGAAGATTATTAAGTTTTGTTGATGTTCAAGTTATTATGCTGTTCTTAAGTTCAATCATGAGTTATTTGTATAAAGATAATAAATGTTTTTATATAAGTGTCTTAAGTATTAAATTTCATCTACTTATATATTGATATTTTTTTCCTCTACCTCTTATTTATTTTGGGTTTAAATGCGATGCCTGTTAACACTTGTTTGTTAAAGAGGGGAGGGTGTCATTAAGAGTAAAACAAAAAATATAAACAGCCTCCAAATTTGTCACCTTTTGTTATTTTAGATTTAAATATTTAAACCATGTTTGGGATGCCCCTTCCTAAGAGCCGATTTAATCCCTCTACTGGGTGCCACAACTGCAGAAATGATATTCAAACAAGTAAAAAATCAAATCATGTAATTTATATTTTTAAAAATTAATTACATTTGATTGTTTTTGCACTTATTGACATTCAAGACATTCTTAACAGTTAGTAACAACTAACCAATTCACATAGTTTTCAAATAAATCTCTCTCATTTCTAACTATCTCTACAATGTACAAATTAGCTCCAAAAATAGGAAAAGGAATGTTTCTGAATATTCTTACTTTGTCCATTTGTGCAACTGAAATTTACATACAGAATGTAGAATTATTTAAAAACCTGGTGCATTGGCTTCTCTTGAATGTCAATTCTACGTAATTGTCATTTTTTCCCTGTACAGTTTTCTAAATGTACAATTCAAAAACAATACATTTAAACATCATAGCCCTTTAAATCTTGTGTCGACTAGCAAAATTTGGTATTTATTAACAACCTTGTAAACACGTTTTTTTATGTAATAAAATAGAACAAAATTTTGTTTATTAAAAAATATAAGATAAACTTCTTATCAATAAAGAGAACAAACATCTACAAACAATAAAGAACTATCTTAAATGTATCGTTAATAGCATTAGTATATCAAAAGCTAGCAAATTGCAAAATAGGTATTGGCTGCTGTAGTTGTAACGGTAATATTTTTCCAAATTTGAATAGTACTAAATTGCTTATTCCGCTTGCCTCAAACGCGCCAGACGTTGTGATAACTCATCTTGTTCCTGAGAAGCTACGGTCGCTGCTACGCTACCGGTTTGTACACCAGTCGGTAGTTCCATGTTAAGTTCCAAACTATGAAGAAAAATAAGAACAAAATAAACCCAAAGTTTGAAATAGCATACCCGGCTTCATCTGCAACTTGCTGCATAAGCGAGTCGACGTCATTCTGTGGCACAGATGTAGTTGTTGATTGCGACATTGCAGTGTCCATGTAACTACTTTGAACATCTAGATCTTCGAATTGCTGCTCAAATTTGTCCATTAGTGTAGAGATTTTTTCTAAATTCATACTTTTCATAGCTGCATCCATTGCTTTTACTACACCTGTTTAGAAAAATGATTACAAATTGTAGAAAATAAAATCCCATTACCGGCCATGGAATTTGTAACTTTTCTAGTTGTAAGCGCCGTTTGTACTCTGCTAGACACCGCGTCCACACGTGCCGACATCCTCAAGTAATTAAGTGATTGATTCTTTTGCCGTATTGCATTCTCCGCATGTATTCTCGCCACTTCCATATTCCCCTTTTGTATCGCCTGCTTTGTCTTGGCCTTCTCCTGCTTCTCTTCCTTGTCGCATCTTTTCGAATTCCGTTCCAGCTCTTTCACAGCAAATTTTAAATTGAAGAGATGCTCTAATTGTTAATTAAGGTAGGTACAATGCTTAGCAAAGGATTACTCATAGTCACATATAACCTTGAGCGAAATTCAATAAAAAAGGATACTCTCCATGGCCGAGGCTGACATTTCGTTCCCCGTCTTGACTGATTAAACCTCCAAATCTGGAGTCACTGCACAGAGAAAAAATAAAAGAAATTAACTTTTAATTACCAGGGATACAGCTTCAAAGCTGCTGTTATTTATTTTATTTATGTCAAAATTCCACTGTCAAAACTGCTAAACGTCATATATGACCTTGCCATAACCCTTCTTTTGCAGTATTGTCAAGTTTCCGTCCGGTACTTGGGGATTAATGAATTTTTTGTATGAAATTGGCTGTTTGCATTTCATCCACCATTAAAAATGTGTTAAAAATCATAAACTAGTGTCGTCCGTTGATTCATACTCAATTTATACACAATAAATATTGGTTTTTCGTTCGTCTGTCTGTGTGACAGTCGGTTAACGCTATGGAGTGTGGACCTTCACTACATACAGCATTAGAGAGCAACACTTAATTTCTTTGTATGGTAGAAGAACAAGCGAGTGTTAAAATGTGGAATTCGAAACTTAACTTTAATCACATCTCAAAAATAAGAAAAAAAATGTATTGTTTTGGATGTAGCTTCTAATTGGTGTAGTGCACGCTGTACATAGTACAGTGTGTAAACCAAATTGGGCGGTATGTGAATATAAAATTTCTGGTAGATGATTATGACTAAGTATTATAAGTAAAAATGAATTGAATGTTGGAAATTGTACTGTTCTATTGTTGCGGTTTGGCCGGAAGTGACCATAAATTCACTTCACTTCATCAAACACTCCCTGCATATTTTTGCATTTTTAGATTCTATAAATTATTACATACCTGGTACGTTGTTTTCAGTAATTTCTACAAGTTTGGGTAAAAAATAAACTAAATTTTATTTTTTATTTTATATGTCCATGAATAGACCAAAATCGTTGTTGCTTAAGTAATTTATCCTATAAAAAAGATTTAAAATAATTTTGTAATTAATAAAATTAGATTTATGATTTATACTTTTAAACCAATTTTTTCAAATGAGATCACAATGGATTATTGAGCTCTGTATATATCACTCAAATGATTACAATTATTTGCTAATATACTGTTGATAATAAACTACTTTTTAAAAATTTTGCTGTTGTGCGTGAACATATCAGTTAAATGTCAGTTATTTTTGATCCACCTCTTCGGTATAGAATCCAAAAAATATACCTGGTTAAATATTCAAATTTAGCATCTAAGCACTGAAACAACATATAAAGCTAACTGTTTAAATGTTTTAAAAAAATAGAAAGCTTTGGTGGAAAAAGGTAAAAGAGTGCGCAGTTAAGAAATAAAGTATGCGCATGTTCGTACTATTTTAATCAAAGTAATTTTCGTAACAGTAGTAGCCCACGTTAAAAATTTGTTTTAGGTCTGATACACTTTAGCCACTTGTGCGAGTGTGATGGCTTTATCACAAACTGACGCGTCTGGTCCAGGTGCGAGCTATTGTATATCTTGCAAGCATCCTCTTCTGACACCTCTTCCCATGTATCTGAAGATAACCGATATATTGCTTACGAGGGGTCGGAGGGTGTAGAAGTAGTATAGAAGATAATGTACCACGAGGCATTACCTCGCTCTACCAACACCCGGCCTGATTGTATTATTTGGGCGTCGTTGTATTACGTTGAATAATGGGTAAAGTAAAAACTGCGTACCTCTAGGTGAAATTGACTTATTCCTTATTGTCACAACGCAATCCGTGCATAAGTAATAATTTTAAGATATTTTGGTCAAATTACACGCAGTTATAAAAGAGCATTTTACAAGTTTTGGACAAAATGCACGCGGCCGCCAAATATGCATCAAGACATTTTGAAGTTTTTCGAATGGGCCTCAATATTGACTTTGTTTAAATTTCGCTCTACCTACGTCACGGATTGGAAGTATATTTGGACTGTTGCACACCTAATGAAGACCATTGCGGTGTAAATAAACGAAAATCCGAAGTTGTTACATGAGCTAGGGAATTATAGTAATCCCTGATTCTAAAAATGCCAATAAATGTTTACTGCTACTCGAATCATACCAAACCATGTAGCGGACGTATACTGTCCTTATTGACGTAAGAACCAGAAAAAATAATAGTGTATTATTTCTCAATGTAAAAAGAACCCTTATAACCATATATAAATTTGTTATTATTAGCCGCTCTTAAACAGAGGTATCGTGCACACGGGCGAACGGACGGGCGGACCACAGTACAAAAGACTATGATCTGAAGATCATTCAAGAGTGGCAAAATAGTTTCAAATAAAATATAAAAGGTTTGGTCTGCAAATGCGCAAAATATGTCCCAAATCGCATGCGCAAACCCTTTTTAAAAATGACCAATTAATTTCCTGTGGTAAAAATTTGATTCAAATGCAATAACGTATAACAAACTAACAAAAACACTTAGCTACAAAATTCGTTGTTAACCTTCAATATTAAAACCAATTAAAAAGGTCTTAAGCTTATAATCAGACACTGTTAACTGTATTTAACGTGAAACGTGTTGTTTTGTATTTAATTTCAGAAGTAAAACAGATCTAAATTAATTGAAACTAATTATTACAAACGCAGAGTTCAATGAAACCCGTAAATGGCAACGTTGCATTTTGCTACACTGCATTATATGTTAACCTAAAAGTAATAAGCGATAATTTATATTAATTTGGAAATTAAATAGTTGGAAACGGTGCTAAATCATGTAATATACACCGTGCGCCAATTTTGTCCCAAATTAAGGCGTAATTTCGCCAATTTTCGCGATTAAAAATTACAATTTGAACGAAACCTAACCTCATTTATAATCAAACAAAATTCAGTGGCGTAGGATACAAATTACCTGATCCCGGTGGGGTTCTTGTTTCAATACCACGAAAATGTACACAGTTTGGAAAATCTCTAACAATTCGACCTAAGTTGGGTGTTTTTCATATTTCGAAATGCAAAAGGAAATCGAAGTTTAGCGGCATTCGTTCGCTATTACTGTAAAATCGGTGTAATACGCAGATAGACGCGTCGTGATTTTGCGACTTCCATTCGAGTTAATTTCATTTAATTAGACCTTTATTGTTTTGTATGTAATTGATTTTGGTTAAAATTCTTTGAAGCAAGTGCGATTGTTGTAAGAAAGCCGTTTTTAAAGCGTATTTTGGATTTAAAAGTTTCCCCTTGCACATGCGTCACCACTGACTTTCGGCACCGTTTGTTCAATGGCTGACATTTCTAGTGAAGAATCGCTTACACGCCATATTTACAGCTGAAGAAACGTTGAGTATTTTGAGTGGAAAAAAAATTATTTGTATTAAATTGACGTTTAATTAGAGTTATTTTTTGGTAATTACAGTTAATGAAGTTGATGTAGAAATGTGGAATCCGTCTAGTGTGCAAGGTATGTCTATATTACACAATTACTATTTCCTTGTACATCAGTGTTAGTTTTAACAATATTTAAGTTATTGTGCTACTTAGGACTTATTTACTAACGTATGTAGGGGAGTCTATTGTTACACAAAGAAATATTCGCAATGTGTACCTCTTTATAAGGTTAGATTGTACTTGTAGCATTTATTGCTTCAATTGAAGCTGTCTTTTGTTGCAAATCACCTCAATCTGCAACTTCAACCGCTTGTGTTTTCAACGTTTTTCAGTGTTTTGGTAGATGATCACTTCACAGACTCCACTGTTCAAAACTGAACAATCGTGTAACTACTTTTGTTGCTTTACAAAAGGACCTAACACGTTCCACGGTCGTTGCACGTTTTTACAATTTACATCTATCGTGACAAAGAGAGGAATTGTCGGTAAGGTAAGTCATATTTAGGTACTTTCCATTACTTGATTAAATTGAAAAGGTATAAATGGAATTGAGAATGGAATGTTACAAATTTAATGTTTACTTCTGATCAGAAACTTTGTGCCAATCTTTCAATTTCTGAAATGTCAAAGTTGGTCTCTTAGGTTCTCTGTCGGCAAATACCTGAAACAAAACCAAATTTATTGATGATAAATAACAATCGCCATCAGTCACATTGGGGTTGTTTTACAGATTTTTCAGGTTGGTCTTCCCATATTTGTTTTATGATCGTAGTTCTGATGAAATCGAGTTGAAAAATTGATTTGGTAAGCTATAGGTAGATAGGAAGGTTGTATACTTTCCACACTGCTTCTTTACCCGATCTTTGAGTATTCATTTCTGCCTCGATTTCTGCACAATTATTTTTTCAGGGGGAACGGAAAATGAAACTGGCATTTTATTTAGGTACAATCAAACAATTTTCTTTAATTTGTACATTTCCAATACCTACCCATATTCAAATTAGAACTAAGAAATATTTAAAAAATTGTTTTTTATTTTGAGACATACCACTTCTCTAAATTTTCCAAAAATCTTTTTAAAATTCCTGCACATTTTCAAAATATCCTCAACATTTAAGATTTCCGCAAAATGACATTTCTAAACAAACAAACGTTTGATACTTTCGAAACATTTGTTACACATTTTCAAAACTATTTCCACATTTGTTAATTTTTCATATCCGTTTCCAAAATTTCTAAACATTTCCACTTGAGATTTCCACAATTATCAACACTTGCAAAATATTTCTACATTTGTTTAAATTAACTGTACATTTCCAAAATTCCCTAAAACGTTTTCAAAATATTTTCTGTACATTTTCAAACATTTCTTAATCATTTGGTTTGGCATTTTCAAAACAATTCCCAAGTTTGTAAAATTTAATTTCCAATGCATTTCTGATATTTTCAAAATTACCAAAAGAGTCAACAAGTCCGTGATATCTTTGCTCTTTAGTACATAAAGAGCGTACCCAGTAAATTTCATGAAATGTTTGTCATATCTTGTATCCGGTCAAGAATTGCTGCTGTAATTTTTTTGTGTAATTTAAATTCAGTATTTCTATGTTGAAAAACACTGGGTTACCAAAGCAATTTTGGAAATCTACCTTGTCTTTTGGAGGTGTAGCTTCCAAAAAAATGTTTTTGGACATACTTGCATTCCATAATATACTAATTTTGAAACCTTAGTTTTTTTAAAAACAGTGTCATATAAAGGTTGTAGAATTCTAAGAGGGTAAATGGGTGACCTTGACCTCGACATTCAGAATTTAGAATGGGTCCCCCTAATTTTGAACTAAAGCATGTATCATCCCTACCATCATAGACCCAAGAGACCTACTCTAACCTATTTTTACTTTAATTGATAGATGTCCGATAGTAAAATTTCACAAGCTTTTCATTACTGAGTTCAAAATAAGCAAACATGCGCGGATGCGAGTCGTAATGAAGCAGATTCAAAACGAAAATCAGTAGTTACTCGCCTCCATGCACCACGCCACCACAACTCGCTTATAAAGTTATAAGATTAACAAATTTTAATTTTGTACAAATATTTTTTTAGATTTGTTTTTATTGTTATTACTTCATTATATCAATTTTTTGTTTCATTTTCTAATAAAAGAGTGACAGAAAGAATTTTCTTATTCTATTCTATTTTTGAATTGCCGCAAGTGTAATTTTGTTTGGAATGTATATTTTTTAGTTTGTTCGCTTTACTCAAATGGAACTACCGAAACTACAAAAATTATGATTTTTGCCCAAGAAAATTGCAAAATCATGGACAAAAAGGAAATAGTTATTTATATAACAAGAGCGCGAAGTTCAATTTCGCGCATTGAGACTGAAGGTATTTTGACGAGGCGAAGCCGAGTTAAAATATCAGTCAAATGCGCGAAATAACTTCGCGCTAGCGTTATATACAATATTTTTTCTACAACTGAACCGATTGTTAATTAAATTTGCTGTTTAAGTTCAACTTTGTCACGTGCGCGAAATACTTTTTTTCACTGTTGACCATTTCGCGCACGTTGTCAAGGGCAACCTTACTTATTAATTAACCGTTTAAAAATCTAGTACTTCGCGCTTCGAAATTCGTCAGAAAATGACAGGTTTTTTTGACAGTTGTAGAAAAAATTATTATAGGTTTCATTCCATGAGTGGCAAATCATTTCTTTCCTTGTGGGAAGGAACTGCATTTTGCTTCTGTGCGTTTCTAAAATTTCTTGCCCTCCTCCAAAATTTGTTAAACATTCGAAAACATTTCTGAGAGTTCGTATCACATTACCACCCTTGTAGAGGACCCCTCACAGGGTACTTATATGAAGAATACCCAAGCCAGTGACAATTTTCTTTCATAAAATTTACTTCTTAGCGATTAAACTAACTGAATTTGTTGGTAATTACCAACCAATTAAAGGTAAGTTTTTATAAAACTTCATAGAAGTGGATATTCTACCAGTGTTGTGATTATTATAGGGTGTAACATAAAAGTCTCAAAATATGCATATCACATAGTATGAAGTTTAACAATGTACATGTACAACATGTTCAATAGAAAGCTTTTCTATTTTAGATTATAAATTATGATTCGCTTATTGCAAGCGGGGTACCATTCAAAATATGGCTCAATATTACCAGGTGTTGAGTCAAAATGAGAAAACTACAGTAGAAAATTTGAGGCAGTATTATCCGAACATTATCGAAAATCAAACAGTTCAGTACGTAATAAGCCCTGAAGATCAGCAGCAGCAGTTTCAAACCCAACAGGTAATTACCTTCACTCACGTAGGGTTGCCCAAACGAATTCGTTTTCAGATCTTAGTATCTTCTGACCAAGTTATGGTAATAGAGAATCCACCGCAGCATGTAATTGTAGATCAATCGGCGGTGACGTATCAAAATCCCCAATATTTGGTACAGGAAACTTCTGGAGATTATCAAAGTCAAAATCAACCTGTTTATTATATGGAGGAAGTGGATAGCTCGAGACAAGTTCAAGTTAATCAGCAGATTCCGCAACCTACGCCGCCTATAGTTTTAAATCATCAACTACAATCAACGATACATAATGAGTTAACAATTACAAATAATTCTCCTAAGTCTAATGTTGCAGTACGACCTCCACCGCCATTACATCAAATTCAACAACCCAGAGCACCTCAAGTTCCCATTAGACACAATTTGGTACAAGTAAGTATTATGCTGAGGTAAAATAGCATGTATTTTTATAAAATAAATGGAATGATGTAAAAATATGATAAGCGTTCAATTGAACAAACTCAACAATAATATCAAAATAGAAAAATCCTTTTTTTTAACGTTATTGTTGCTCTGTGTGGTTGGAACTATTTCAAAAAAACTAACCAATACCAATTGTGCCAATGTTTTTTGTAGTTCATGTCTGAAACAAAAATCAATTGCTTTCTTACAGCGTAAGAACCCACATAAGGTCAACGTTCCCCCATCTGTTTACTGAGTGAAATACATTTTTTAGCAATCGTGATATGTAAACAAATACATTGGAAATGGTTTGGTTAAAAAAATTAAGTCAAGTACAGTTTATTAAAATTTCTGTCTGCTTCTATCACATGGAAAGAACGCATGCGCACTCTCTTACATCTATGCGTACACTACGAGCGGCTGTTAACGCCGCGTCCTTTCACACGAAACAGTTGTCGTAATTTTAAGTAGCGTGAGGGAGAGATATGTGTATATTGTCCCATGTGAAGGAGAACGACGCAGCGTAACAGCTATCGTGGTGTAGGCATTGAGTGTAAGAGAGTGCGCATGCGCTCTCTCCAGAAGCAGATAAAAATATTAATTACATTAGTTGTAAATTTAGGGTAGTCTTCCTTAATTTTTTTCGGCTACCCATTTGCAATGTGTTTGTTTCAATTAAGTTTGCTAAAAAATGTATTGCACTTGGTAAACAAATGAGAGAGGGTTGATTTTATCTTATTATAATTAGAGGCGTGTTTGATTAAAAAGTGGGAAAACTTACAGGCAAATCGATGTCATTATGTCTGTTAACATAGTACTAAGTAATAACGTTTTCAGGTAAGAGCGCCAAATCACCAAACTCATCTTTCACTTGTGTCGCAAAGACCTCAAGTGGTACAGCAACCGCCTAGACCATCACTTCAACTTCCACAAAATCAACAAAATCCTCGAAATGTAACACCTCAACATCAGATTCAGATACCATCTCAGGTAGAAAGATTTGGTATCTATTGCATCGCTTTCATGAAACCATGCATCATATGACATAGATAGCACAAGCATAGTAGGCCTAGGTGCTGGTGAACATTATCTTCTACTGCAACAATTTTCTTCGTCGTTGTGCTTTATGTAGATGTTCAACGAACGTAATGCTTGCTAGATTCTCCAATTCAGTGGTGTTGTATCTACTTGTTTTAGCTTAGCTTCATTTTGAAAGGGCACAAGAATACCAGCCACATATGCATGCAGCGGAAGCAAAATTTCTTAGGAATAGCTTGTTCTTCTCTATTATTATAAAGTGGATTGTGAAGTTATTTGTAGCAATAATAAATCTTTTTAGATTTCGTGAATTGATGTGTGTATTGCAATTTTGATTATTCTGATGTCTTGTTTTACAAAATATATAAAAAGCGGCAGTTATGGTGGTGGATCATAAGTTCGATAATTATTTCTAGTTTTCATTTTGATTTTGTGTAGTTATTGCAACTGTATTTCATGACCAAATAAGAATAGGTGTATTTCAGAGAATAATAAATATAGAGCAATTTGTTTATATAAATGGAGCCCACAGATAAGGAACGAATTACTGTTGTGGAGGTGAGACTGACTACAAAACGGATAAGGGAGATTTTTGTTTCTCTGCTCAGAGCTCTCTCTGAAATATAGCCAGTCTTATTTGTCCGTTCCATACATGTTTTATTGAATTTATATGCAACAAGATTTTGTGACTGATTTTTGAAAGCACAACAAAATATTAATATGTGTGTCTTGTTCCAGAACGAAACCGTTAACCACCCAACTGTTACATTACGTGATGGTCAAATTGTGAACCTAACAGAATATCAAAAACCTAGGACGGCAACCCCAGAGAGGTAACCTTCCGACATTGTTTATATCAATGTAAAATATTTTTTTACAGTTTAGAAAAATCTGTTTTAAATAAATTTAAATCGAGCCAACATTTAAAATCGCCTCGCGGCACGAGAGGTGGTAGAAGTAAAGCACGTAGGAATATGTCTGCACCCAATAATACAGTATCATATAGCACACCAGATGCCACACCGCAAAGATTTTTGACGCAACAGTTGAAGCATATCAATCAAAATCAACAGAAACAGTTTGCCCCCCATCAAATTCACGCGGTTATGCAACCTCAACCTGCGATTAAGCAACATCCTCAAGTGTTACAACAGCAACAACCAATACAACACCAAATCCATCAGGCGCAATATGTGCAACCTCAGTACTTAATCCAACCACCTTCCCAACATCAGTTGCACCAGCGAACTCCATTACCTGCCTACATCGCGTCTAGCCAAATTCAGCAAATCATCGGTGGGTTATTCGGGCCAATGCGTCTTTTTATTCTAGTCTTTTTTTTACAGACAGCACACCTGTCGGCGAAGAGTATTCGGATTCGATTCGCATGCTGGTGATGTTAGAAAACGGGGAGCAGAGATTAATTACGTTCACCCTGCCCAAAGAAGCTTGTACCATTCAAGAAATTTTGGAACAAGTGAGCCGAATTTTCATTTAAGCACTATACACTTATTTTATTTGTAGGTGGGTGTACCTTTTCATCCCGACACTAAAATTGAATGTACCGAAACTAACAATTGCGGAATCAATTATGTAGTGGTTGTTGGAGCTCAAGGCCAAGAGGGCAATGTAAGATTTCATTGACGAATTTCTTTTGCATTTCATGTTGATTTGGTTTAGTTATCTCAAGAAGGCGAGGTGCAAGAACAAATTCCAAAAGTAGACTCGAGCGAGGAGCAACACAAATCGTCGAGTCCCGAATCGCCAGATTTAGAGGCACCCCATTATATTCCTGGTTTACTCGCCGTGTGCAATCATTGTGGTTATACATCGGAGAACTTCCGCCGATGTTTAAGGTGTAGATATAAGCTGCCGGATGACGTAAAAACCCGACCAGCTTTAAATAGTATTGGGGCCAATGGTAAAAAACCAGATGTTTTGAAAACCCTACCTCATGTGCATGAAAAGAAGTTATCCCCAAAAACCTCTGGTAAGTAGGCTGTGAGTTTACCTTTCCTTTCTCCTTGTATCTTGATTGTTTACCTTAAAATAATGGTGATATCTTCTTTATAATTGCAGCAAACAGAAAGAAAAAATCTAAAGTGATTGATCCTGAGCCTGTGGTCCTTACTCTCAGCTCTGATGATGAGGAGAGTCAAAGCACCTCGGTTTCTGTAAGTACACCTATTTTACTTTGCAGTGCTTTTGCATAATAAAAATTAAAACAATAAATAAATATTCCTACTTTATCAAATGCCTAGGTGTCATCACTTTAACACCAGCTAAGACGTCAAATTTTATTATTTCAAAAAATAAGAATGTAAAAAGATAATTTAAGAAGACGTTTGCTATTTTTCATACTAAATCCCGTGTTTTATCTATAGTGCAGCGGAGAGAGCCGCGAAATCGTTCAAAAAATTTTTTCGGAGTAGAAAGAATTGGGACCCACACCATTTTGTTCAGAAATGTTTGAACCTTCAGAATCTCGCTTTACGACATTTTCCCGTGGTCCTGACAAAAGTTATAGGCCGCTAAAGTTGAAATTTACTCATTTTCGCGCGCGCGACTAGACCACCGAAAGTATTTATTTTCTCAGCAACTAAGCGATATACATCAATATTTCCTTTTGTAAAATGAAAGTACATTTATAGCAGAATCTAAAGCATTCATATTTACCTACCTTGTTATGCACAGTTTTTAGAAAAATGACTTCCAAAATTCGTGTAGCAGATGAAAAGTGCGCACTTTGAACTCTCATAACTTTTTATTTCACGATATCGATTTCCAATATTTATAGCTCATTCGATGCTCCAAAGCATTGTGATTATTTTATTTTCTATAACATTACCGTGAATTTTTCATAATAAAAAAGTTACGGTCATTTAAGTAAAAACCTACCGACCTCGCCGAGTCGGTAATCGCGAGTGAGACGGAGAGGGAAGGATAGTCAGCAGCGTTCGCTAAACAAGGAGCGATGCGTAAGAGATTTTACTTTACTAAGAAATTTCTCTCCGAATACCAAAACTAGCTATTTAGGCCGTTTAGTTTACAAATGCATTCCGCCGAGTTGCATTGTAAAATCTCAAACAATTCATTAACTCCATGTATCTCAGTTCTTTGGTGAAATATATAGGTACAAATAGGTACCTTTCCCTGTAAATTTTGGGGGTTACTCCACATCAGGTATCTCTTGTGCTGTGCTGTATATTGCAAGATCAGCAGTAACAACGGTATGATTTTGTCCCAAAGATTCAGGCTTGTTTTTTGATTTCACTAGACGATGGTTAGGATGGTATTGTAGCTCGCTGGTGGAGAATTCAAAAACGGCATAGGTATATTATATTGAATGGTAGATACCGGAACTTACTTAGGATTATCAGCATGTACTTAGGCTGTTAAAGTCAGTTATCTGGTCGTTATCTAGTGATAGGTAAACGAGGAATTTGGATTTCTTCTGCCGATGTATCTCGCTTTTGAAAAAGGACTGTGCGTTGAATTTTTTTCGTCTGTTTTCACAGAATATGGCCTACTTATTCTTATTCTGTGACTGTTTCCTCATTGATGTCGAAGTTATTAATGCTCGCTGTGATAAAATTATCATTTTTTATTTGACAAATTTTTGTGAAATGTAGGTAGACACCCTTAGCAGAACATGTAATATTGACGTTTACTGTACTTGTTATGCCACTGTCGGAGAACATTTTCTGACCCGAAAGACCAATTTGCAAATGAGTGTAACTTTTGTTTGAAAAATGACCTTAAGAAAAACTGTTCAACAATTTTGTACCGTATGTACCTACACAACAAACTTCGTGGAATTTTGTCAATTTTCGTTGTCCGGCCAAGAATTGCAGTGGAATTATTTTTTTCGAATTTTCAAAAACTAATTTCAGATTCAAAAACCACCAGATACCAAATTTCGTCGAAATCAACATTTTTTCGCACCCCTATTGAGGGGTGTGCCCTTTTGTGGTAGGAATTTTGAAAAATTATTTGCAAAACCGGAAAGGGCATACAGCAAAACCTATTCAAAGACTTACCACCAGTCTCTGTAACTGTTGCTGAGAAAAAAAGAAACTTTACCACTTTTTTGAGGGTGGCTCCTAAACGAATACATGGATTTTTTTTTGGGGTTGGATCCATCGTTCCTCGAAATGGGGGTTGAAATATATTGTGTGATCAAAACTCTCTAAACCTTCCCCATATAGTTTTTATTCGTTGAAGTTTTTTAAAAATAAAAGCGACTATAGTTTCGGCGTACTGCCATCATCAGGCGATGTGAAATTTAACAGGAAAACGGTAAGTTACAAACGTTGAAGACGAATAAGACGAACATGTTGTTTTTTAATTATTAACTGGCCGAAGCCAAGTGAAAAAACCTGAAGGGTGGTTAAACCGGAAAGGTTGTCCTAAGTTTCAAAACGAATTATTATCAAGCCTTGTTAAGACAACCAACCGGAGGGTTGAATTATTACATTAAAAGTTGAAAGTTGAATTTAACACATTTCAAAAGAACCGGAGGGAAAAAATAAACTTATAAAAGTTTTGAAACTATTGAGATGACTACATATTTAAATTATTTAAGTTAAGTTTAAATTCGAGATCATGCAGACGGCATGTCTAGAAATGATTGACCACCAGGTTTACCTATCACTAGATAACGACCAGATAACTGACTTTAACAGCCTAAGTACCTGCTGATAATCCTCCTAAGTAAGTTCCGGTATCTACCATTCAATATAATATACCTATGCCGTTTTTGAATTCTCCACCAGCGAGCTACAATACCATCCTAACCATCGTCTAGTGAAATCAAAAAACAAGCCTGAATCTTTGGGACAAAATCATACCGTTGTTACTGCTGATCTTGCACAGCACAAGAGATACCTAATGTGGAGTAACCCCCAAAATTTACAGAGAAAGGTACCTATTTGTACCTATATATTTCACCAAAGAACTGAGATACATGGAGTTAATGAATTGTTTGAGATTTTACAATGCAACTCGGCGGAATGCGTTTGTAAACTAAACGGCCTAAATAGCTAGTTTTGGTATTCGGAGAGAAATTTCTTAGTAAAGTAAAATCTCTTACGCATCGCTCCTTGTTTAGCGAACGCTGCTGACTATTCTTCCCTCTCCGTCTCACTCGCGATTACCGACTCGGCGAGGTCGGTAGGTTTTTACTTAAATGACCGTAACTTTTTTATTATGAAAAATTCAATTCAACTCATGTATAAAAAATCGCATAAGCCGCAGTGAAATTGTCACTTTGACAGCGGCAAAAGTTACCTGCAACTTTTCCAGCGACAAATGCACTAGTGGTTTTTTCACTTATTCATTTTCGAACCAATTATCGCATTATCCTTTCCCATATGACTAGTTTGACGTCTGTCAGTAATTGATTAGTTATGTGAATTTCTTGTTCGTTAAATTGTCCTGCCGAATTACACTCGAGGTTTGTATTTAAACCGAGTAAATTTGTGTTGTTGCAATTCAAATCTGTTGCCTTTTAGCAATTGAACTCGAAAAACTGTCAACCTAAAAATGCTCCACCTGCGGTGTCGCATTTTTATTAGTTGACAGTTTTTCTCGTCTAATTGCTAGGCAACAGATTTTCATTACCTAAACAACCCAAATTTACTCGGTAAAATACAAACCTCTTGTGCAATTATAAGTGAAAAATTCACGGTAATGTTATAGAAAATAAAATAATCACAATGCTTTGGAGCATCGAATGAGCTATAAATATTGGAAATCGATATCGTGAAATAAAAAGTTATGAGAGTTCAAAGTGCGCACCTTTCATCTGCTACACGAATTTTGGAAGTTGACGGTCATTTTTCTAAAAACTGTGCATAACAAGGTAGGTAAATTGAATGCTTTAGATTCTGCTATAAATGTACTTTCATTTTACAAAAGGAATGATTGATGTATATCGCTTAGTTGCTGAAGGCCGCTTTACATACTGCAATTCTTCATGCAAGACCATGCAATACGCAATAAAACTTGCCCAGAAGCATGCGCGTTTGAGAAACAGCTGATTCATTTTGGCAATTCACTTGCAATTGCAGGTTAGCGGTCGCGCGCGATTTTTATTGCACTTGCACGTGATATTTTGGGGGAAAGTATTGACAACGCCAGGTTCTAGAATTCCCAAACGTTGAAACTAGACTTTGTTTTACTATTACTACACAAATTGAAGCTGCGACTGCCTTTTTTCGATTAAAGTGTCTATTCATTTTTACTCAAAACGCATTCAGAATTATAACAACACCTGATGAATTTTGAATAGATAAAGCTTTTAGTTCAATTTTAAATGCGAATGTTGGTAACAAACTATTGCAAAAAGAAAATTGCCGCGTGTAAAACCAAAGTGCAATAATTATTGCATGTACAGTATTTTTGCAATTAAACTTGCTGCAACTGTATTGCACAAAGAATTGCAGTATGTAAAGCGGCCTTGAGAAAATAAATACTTTCGGTGGTCTAGTCGCGCCCGCGAAAATGAGTAAATTTCAACTTTAGCGGCCTATAACTTTTGTCAGGACCACGGGAAAATGTTGTAAAGCGAGATTCTGAAGGTTCAAACATTTCTGAACAAAATGGTGTGGGTCCCAATTCTTTCTACTCCGAAAAAAAAAACTACCTCAAATAAGCGAGTTAGCGCCGGCTCTCCGCTGCACTACTACCCTTTATCCGTCTGTCTGTCTGTACCACTACTAGTGAATTGGTCGATTTTAAGAAAACAAAATTGATAAAAAGTAAAATACATTCTATCAATTTTTTGGTAACTTTTAGTTACTGTTTGTGTCACAAATTACTGTCATCAAGTTCTTTTTCAGGAGGAATTTTGTTATGCACAGGTGGACAAACCATACATTTGGGTTGGTAACACAAAATATATTATAAAAAATAAATTGACAAATGTAAACACTTTCAATTATTGTTTTAATTTAAGTATTTAAAATTGACCTAAAATTGGCACGTGTAATTTAAGCGTAAACTGTTGCAAAAATTCTAATTAAAATTTTTCAAAACTCATAAAATTAAAAATGTAATAACTTAGTTCTGAAATATTTATGTAATATGCCAATATTACTGTGTCTAGCATGGGGATTTCCGAAACCATAGAAGATATGATGATGGTCAAATTAGGAAAAAGTTGCGCATTTAAGCAGTTATTGACATCCTTTAAAGAAAGCCAGAAAATTCCGATTACTTCAGAAGATATGCCAGAAAAACCAGAATTTCCCGATTTGGTTTTCATTTTTTTCCGATGTTTGAACAAATAGAACAAAATAAAAATCACTTTTTCATTTCCACTTTTTGAGCTCTACAAGACACCATTGAGATACAACGTTTCGTTTCGGAGAAATCATCATCAACTTTATTCTCTTATATGGCCTGTAAAAAAAAGTACACGCTGTATTGATTTTTATTACTAATACAATGATATACGGCACACAAAAAGAAACAAAGGTTGCAAACTGTTGGTTTCAATAGAATAGTGCATCTGTGCACAACACCTTAATCGTTAGAGAATACCTATCGACAAATTTTGATAGGTATTCTCGCATGATTGGGGCGTTGTGCGCGGGTGCACCATCCTGTTGAAACAAACAGTTTCCATTTCGAACTTTTTTTTTTGTGTACTATACTTACATCGTAATTCGTACATTCGTAATAAAAAATGCTACTCAATACAGTATGTACGTTTTTTACGGGGCATATAAAAAAATAAAATCGAAACGAAACGTATTAAAGATCTCTCCATGTTGTCTTGGACAACTCAAAAAGTGGCAATGAGAAGATGTTACCATGACGAATAAAATAAAAACAAAATCCGCAAATTTCGGTTTTTCTGGCATATCTTCGAAATTTTCTGGTATTCTTTACAGCATGGCGATAACTGTGTAATTTCGCATCTTTTCCTTAATCTGACTATCATCGTACCTTGTCTGGTTTCCGAGATCCCCTTGATAGACATCATATTGGACACACTGTATACATATAGATAAACACAAAATAATTAAACTAAAGGATTAACATGGTTGAGATAAACGTCTAAGGTGTCATCAAAGGGCTTCAAAAATGATTTGCAAAAATGAAAATGTTATTAGGTGTAAAGATTTTGGCGTAGGGAGAAAGAAATTTAGCATTTCTATAGGCATGCTAACATTTTTTTATTATTTCCAGGAGACTGATGAAATTATTAGGAAGCTCAATAACTCGTCTGTTACTTTAAGTGCTATTAAAAAAGAGCCATCCACAAACGATATTAAGCAGAATACATCTGAGAATGAACCTTCATATGCAGTTAAAGGTAAGGGTTTACAAATAGCTCCATTGTATTTATTTGATTTGTCAGAAAAAAAAAAGAGAAAGAAAGCTACTGACACCTTTCTAGCATTCCCTTCCGGGTTAAGTGTGTTCACATTTTCAGGTGGCGGTAAAGATGATAATGCAGATAATCAGAATTTGATCACAACACTGAGTTGTAGAACGATCAGGATCGGTTCTTATAAATGTTTTCCATCTGGAGAGGTAAGTGCAAAGTGGGATTCGCCCTTTTTCATTAAGTTTCTCTGTCCTCTTAGGTCCTTCTTAAATCTCAAGAACTGGTTTTACGCGTACCAGTTCCTAACGATCCTAATACTGTCAAAAAATTGGTGATAGAGAAGAAGAATGTAGTAAAAGTTTTAGTTAATTTTAACAAATCGTTGCCTGTTGTTTTTTATTATGTTGACGAAATGGTCGGGGAGTACATTAGAGAAGAATTGGGAATGGTCGAGGGTGGTGATCGATATTTTGATCCCTTATCATCTGAGGAGTCTTTCAAAAGAATTACTCTCCTTCTTGACATTGTTCCTGAGGCCACTAAAGGGATTATGAGAACTATTTACGATTTTAATAAACCCAATAAGATTATTGATGAGTTGACCTCTTACGAAGCAAATGATATTCTACTTAAGACTTGTCCTAAGGAATTAAGTAAAGTTATAGCTAGTTCAGGGTAGGCTCTCCAGTTATGCTTTTTCTCGTTTACAACTTTCAATTCCAGCTATCACGATATTAAGCCTCTCTTTATATACCCCCCAGGAAAAGGAGGATTATCCATTAATACAGAAGATTACCTGTGTTTAGCACAGGATCAGTTCCTAAATGATGTGATTATTGATTTTTATTTAAAATACTTAGTTTTAAATTTACCCGAGGTCCTACAACAGAAAGTGCATGTGTTTTCGACCTTCTTTTATAAGCGCCTGACAACCAAACCAGTGAAAGCTTCAAGGTATTGCTTCGTATTTTTTAAACAGGAACTTATTGAGTTGTTACAGACGTACCCATCCTGCCGAACTGGATCCTGTATTAACTCCAGCACAAAAGCGCCACGCTCGCGTTGAAAAATGGACAAAAAGTGTGAATTTGTTCGAAAAAGATTTCATAATAATACCCATCAATGAGAATTGTCATTGGTTTTTGGCGATTGTCTGCTTTCCTGGTATGACTGGTTGTATTACTTGGGATGGCAATACAATCAGTGTATCACCGAAACAGAAAAAAAAAAGTAAGTACCTACCACTGTTATCGTCTCCATTTACCTCATAATCAATTTTAGAAAAACTAAGCACCACTACCATAGGAAATGTAACAATTACAACTGTAGGCAAGGAGAAAATTCCAGAATTTGATGATTGTGACGCTAGCGACAAGGATGAGGCTGAAGGGGATGAAAGTGAACTGGACTCTGATATTGACAGTGATGAATCGGAAACACTCCAATTGTCACAGACGCCCATTTCCAACAAGCGGCAACCTATCAAGCAGTAGGTAGTACTGTGCCATTTGTATTAATAATCGCTTTATGTTTTAGAGCTAGCATTCTTATATTTGATTCCCTAGCTGGTGCAAGTAGAGCTAGAGTTGTGGCAACCCTTCGCGATTATCTTTCATGTGAATACAAGGCTAAAATGGGTGTTGATAAAGTTTTTAATAAAGACGTTATTAAGGGTAGTTGCCCAAAAGTTCCTCAGCAAACTAATTTTACAGATTGTGGACTGTATTTGTTACAGTATGTCGAGTCTTTTTTCAAAGTAAGTATCTGCGTAAGTAATGTAGTCTCGAAACATGGTCCTTGTTTACGCAAGTTCAATCTTTAAAAAATTGCTTGATATTATAGTGTGTAAGTTACAAAAACCACAATTTACGACCTTTTAGCCACATTAAAATGCATATGGGGTAAACAAAATCAATTTATCCAATTTGTAGGGTGCTATGTTGCCAAGTACATAAGTATTAGCACCACTAATAGCACTATTACGTTGTGTTCACTTTAGTACATGCCATTGCGTTTATTTTTCATGCAATGAGCGTACATCATTGCCTTTGTCCCTATTTATAATTTTTTTTACAAGAATTTTGCAGCGCCATCTATCAACCAATAGCTAAAGTTGTGAATTCCAATCTGTGGTTTGAAACAAATTACAATACTTAATTAGCCTAAAATTATTTGCAATTGGTGACCTAGCGTCAAGGTGTGCCAGAAAGCCTTCAAATACGCTTGTCTAACGCAGTGTCCTACGTGAGCGGCAACACGCGGTCGACGCTGCAGTCGCGGCGTAAAGGGCAAACGCGACCAGAGCGTCCTACGTGCAAGCATCGAACATAAAGTGATGCAATGTTGAAGCTCTGCTCAAGTACGGGTAAACTAAAGTTAACATAATAATGGAATGATATGAACATGTTTGCAGCAATGATATTCCTATTTATACAGAGTATTCCAAAAAAGTAACTGTATAACCTGTTATTAATGAAGTTATTTATGTATGCAATAAGTATTCCCCAAGCTTTATTGATCCATTCTGTGTATATGTTACCGGCAAACTGCGAAATCCGGCATTTTGCAAAATCCCTAAGTATTTTGCGAAATGGCCAATGCAGCAGGCAAAGTGATAAATGGAACTCGAGTTCGCACTTCTCCTGCCTCTCTTTAGGGATTTCGCAAAATGCCTAAACGTTCAGGCAAAGTGAGAATGCTCGGATATTTTCCACAGATTGCGCGTACGGGGTGCCAAACGTAAAACCGTCGCGTTAGTACTTTCCCCCATCTGATATATTCTCCATAGTAAATCCAAAGCTTGACTCAACAGAATACTTATAGATGAAATGCAGTCTAAACGTGAGCGCAATATTTCGCGAGTACTTAAATAACATCCCAATCGTCGCGTCGTTTACCATCCAATGGCAACGCTGTATGCGCCATCTGTGGGAAATGACGAAGCCTTCGCACTTTGCCTGCATGTTTAGGCATTTCGCGAAATCCCTAATAGTCCAGTCAAATAAGAAAAAATAAAAACATTAATCGGTAAAGATCTGAAATTTTGGTACACATGTTCATTAGTGTTCCCCATTGGACATACTAAAAGTCCCCGTCAAAATCTGTTGCGCTCGAGGCACCATCCTGGAAAAAAGGAGCAGTTTTTCAGTTTCTTGCCTATATATCGGCAACAATTATTGATACGGAAAAATAGTTCAGATAAAAAATATAGTTTATTAAATTGCCCATAAAAAAGCATATTAACATTTTTCTGTATGCCCAATACTTTAGCTATAATCGGACATCGAATAGGGAATCAAGTATCCTGAGCTCTCGAAACAGTTGCGCAGATATTTTTTTACAACTTTTTACAAATCATTAAAAATTCATTGAAAATTCTACCAGTATTTCTTATATATGCGAAGTCGTCGCACTCAAGCTTGGTATGAGACACGTTTAGTAAGGTTTCTCATAAAACTCTCTCTCAATAGAACTTTCATCTTCAATGTGAGCACTGAGTGTCCGAACAGGGTCAAGGTCATTCTGAAGGTCTGATAACGATGTCGGTTTTAATATCTCTCACTAGCAGGCACGTTATACTTATGCAGATAAGGGCGTTCTTCAGCTTCAGAAATCATTTCGTTGCTCCAACTCTTTTACACATTTTCGCTTACCTTTTTGAAAAAAACATGATGTATCATCAAACATTATGTCATTGGTAGAATGCTTTATCGCACGACGATTCTGTTCATTTTTTGGCTCTATTACAGCTATCGATGTAGTCATAAAAAAGACGGCCTCCTATAATATTACGATACGGGGCCTAAACGCGTTCTGACGTATTCAACGTGAGATTACAGCTAAAGTACTGGAGATACAAAAAAAATGTAAATACTCTTTTTTATAGGGAATTTAGTAAACTATATTTTTCATGTAAACTATTTCTTCGTGTCAGTAATAATTGCCGAGACATGGGCAAAAAACTGGAAAAGTGTACCGTTTTTCCAAGATGGCGTCTCGAGCGCAACAGATTTTGACAGGGACTTTTAATATGTTCAATAGAAAGTCCCAATAAATGTGTATACCAAAATTCAGATCTTTACCAATTAATGTTTTTATTTGTCCAAAATTGCGCTAATTTGACTGGACTATAAAGAGAGGCAGGCAAAGTGCGAACTGCAGCTCCGTTTCTCACTTTGCCTGTTGCATTCGTCATTTCGCGAAATGCCTAGGCATTTTGCAAAATGTCGGATTTCTCAGTTTGCCGGTGACATATATATTTTTTTACATTTTTTTATAACGCCATCTATGCACCACTAGCCCAATTAGTAAGTTCATTTATGTGGTTTGCAACGTGACCAAATGAATCAAATGTAATTTCGCGGGAATATTTTTGAAATTTTATACAAATTCATGTACAATCTTAATCTTACTAGGATAGTTGTAAACGTACGATTTCGTACGCAGTTAATTTATCACGTCCTGTATATTTTTAAATTACAACGTACAACGCCATCTATGAACCATTAATCCAAATTGTAGATTCTGATTTGTGGTTTGTTACTTAAATGACAATGTAGGCACAATTCTAGTATTATTCCTTTTTTGAATCACGTAATGATGGTTTTGGTCTCAAAATGTAATCTGAAAATTGAATAAAAAGAAATGTGAACTAGAAATGTATTAACTTGCTTCCATTATGATAGTGCAACTGATATCTGCATAGTTACTTCTTAAAAGCATCATTTGTGCTGTGTTTGCTGAATGTATAAATTCATTTTTTTACTGCAACTTAGCATATACAAGGTGTTTCCAAATAATGGCCAAACTTTTAAATATTTAAGACGTTTGGCTCAGGATAAAGATACCATTTTTCAATGAAAATCTTATAACTGGTACCTATAATGTATGCTGATTTTATATTTGCTGGCATTCTAGATATTTTTACACAGAATCCAGTGCTGTAGTAAAATTTTTGAACACCCTGCATATCTTGTCATTTCGTCATTTTTTGCATTCTTTGTCTTAATTACATTGATATATCATAACCTATATTTTTTTTAATGTTAGCCAAGAACCAAAAATTAAAACCTATTTGTGTACTGTTTTTAAATAGTAGGCCATGGATTCATGGAGATTTTAGGTTGTGATACATCAATGTAATCAGGAAAACGAATGCAAATAATTGACGTTAAGATATATAGGGTGTTGCGCATGCATAAGCCCAATTTTTAGCCATCTACTTTTTAAACCTACTGCTAGATTTACTAATATTACAAATATCTGCAGTTACAAGTTTTTTGAACTATCTTAAATAACAAACTTGAAAAGTGCAAACATTGTTCAACAAAATTTTGTCTTAGTTATCCACCATATGTATCGCCACTTATTACATAAAAAAAACCGCAGCCTTCTACAAGGTTCAAGTGCTGAGATCTTAAACCCTCAGACGGACCGCCTGAATTCCGAGAATTTCAGCAGTCGGTTAGATTCCGAGTTTCCATAAGCTAAGCATAGACCTTAGGTCGCCTAGTTTTATACCATCAAAATGCTGATGTTTTGCTTGAGTAATTTTTTTTTCATGTTAAAAAATGACATGTACAATTTGTTCTGTTCTTCACTCGATGTTTCATTCTAGTTCAACTTCCAGTTGTCAAGTATAAAAAAGTTGAGATGGATCAACCTATAATAAGGTCAATATGTGTGTGGTTGTTTTTAAGTTTGGCCTGATGAAGCATTGTAAGTAAACCACACCTTGTAGAAAAGAAAAACAATGGAATCATGTAAATATTTTACCACAGTGATATTTGTGTATAACAATGCTTCGGAGTTCTGTGAAACAATTGATGAAACATATTTTCATTTTTATACAGTATACAAGGTTGACAAATTGACTACAATATGAATGCATAAATGTATATTACTTTTTGAAATCTATTTGTGACATTTGTATGTAAACAGAGCTGGAAAATATTTTCTGAATCAATGGTGGAATGTCAAGTGAAAATAAACAATTTTAAGTGAAAATGTAATCGGCTTCAATTTAGTGTATGATGCGATAACAACAGTCCACACTGTGTTTGTGTGCTTTGATTATCTCTTTACTTCTGCCTGAGCTTCAACAGGCCACTCTATATATTTTTTTAATAATTTTTAACAGCGCCATCTGTGTACCAGTAGTCCAAGTTATAATCTCAGGCCTGTGGTTTGCAACTTAGTTACACTTTTGTGGTAACATCATGAATGCATACCTATACAGTATCATCAGTGTGTAGAACCAATGTATGGTTTGTAACTTAAATATGCACAGCATACTTTCGTTTTTCATGTCAGGTATTGAATAATTTTGAAGTATGGTAAATCAAGCACAGCATTGATTGTATTTAACTTGTAATCCATTACAGAACTGCACTTTTTTAATAATTGAGTTGTCAACTGACACTGTTTTAAGAGATACCAAAGCATTTCTCATCAGCTTTCCATAATGCCTGTTAATTTTTTGCAAAGTGAGAGACACTGAAATTAACAGGATATTGTTTCGTATTTTTATGCTTTTGTAAGTGAAAGAAATTGTTACTGACCTATTGCAGGCACAATGTTGGCTAAAAGATCTCATTTAGATTAAAATAAAAATTGGTTATTTAAGGCATTAAGTGGAATGATAAGTTAAATTTTTTTTAGACCCCAATAAAGGACTATCATGTGCCAATTAAAGAAGTAACACATTGGTTTGATGAGTTTGTTGTAACAAAAAAAAGAGAAGACATTTCGTTATTAATAAAAGATCTTATGTTGAAATATGATAAAGATTTGGATATTCTACCAGTGATATCATTTCCAACACTTGATGGTAAATCTCTACACCCTTTGACTTTTGGATCTATTAATTGCAATTATGTTTCTGTTTAGGTAAACTTGTGCAAAGAGATGAAGAAGATGAGGAGTTCATGAATGACGAACTTGAAGAGGAATTGGAAGAGGAGGATTATTTGCCGGAAGACAGTAGCGAAGTGAGTGATTCTCATAATGACAGTACTGAAACCCACGCAGAGCAACAGATAGAAGATGAATCACCAGCAGCAGTAACGACACCAATTACCAATCCAATACGCATCAATTTAAACAATTCCAAACGTAAAGAGGAACAACAAGAGCCTGTTGCCAATAAAGGTAGAGATGGCTTCATCGAAGAAGCAATATCTGACCAATTTTTAAAGCCTGATATGAGCGAAACAGGTAGCAGTAGTAGTAGTCGAGAGACTCTGTCTTATTTAAAAGCAAAACGAATAAATAGACACAAAAGCCTTTCCACAATTGATACAAAAAGATTTAAATCGTCTGATGACTAAATAAACGTTTTCCGTTAGTTAATACGAAAATATTTATTAGTAATTTTTTTCATTTACACAAAGCTTGAGTTTCTATACTGTATAATAGCTAATTTAATCTGTACATAGCGTAGATCTAGAGAACGTGTAATGATACCGATCACTTTTGTTAGCGATACAATAATTGTGTAGTACTGAACGTTTATATTATACAGCTTCAACAAATATGATGAATAATAATAAGTAATTTAATTATTTCCCACTATTAAACCCCTAAAACAGCATATAAGCATTGTTTATTCATGCCTAAACAATGATATAAGGTATCTCATGTATTTATTTTAATTGTACTTTTAGGGTTTTTATGACAAGTTTAAATGATAACTTTTTGTATTATATATTTCATAGGCTGTATATATCTATTAGTAATTAAACGAAAACTACGTTAGCTGTATTACTTCTTTACCCGGTTAAATCACTCATTTAGTTATATTTCTGTTTAAGATTTAGTAAGTTAAGTTTAGTTATTGTTGGGAATGTATTGGTATCCCTGAAATAAAAAATGTCAAAAAAGTAAGGTTATGTTGGATTTAATCTTCATATCTTCTTGTTTGGCTCAAGCAGCTCAAATGGTGTAGTTGTTACCGTATATAGGTAATACACATATAATTGGTGTTTTTTTAAAAAGAATTTTGACTTGCATACGTTGGTTCACAACTTGTTTATGGGACATAAGTATTCTGATGTGTCACTGTTACTCAAAAAGCGCGGGAAGTTTAAATTGTTTTCCTACTAATTCTAGAACCATATTGTCATGCCAATGGGATGGAATATGAGAGTGAGTCAAGCTAAAATACGCGTTAGTGGAAGAAGGCTTTGCTTCACTACGCTCGTTTGCGGGATTCGCGTGGCGCATTTTGGTTTAATTGCGGGACATATTTATCAATTTTTAGAATGCGAGATTGTATTTGCCATTACAGGATCGTCCCGCTGAATACGGGACGGTTTACTTTACACCCCACCCCTTATTGGAAAATTGAGAAGTTCAATGTTCAATATTGATCATGTTTCAAGTTTTCCCAGAGAAAACCTGTTTTTCTCATACATGTGGTTTGGTTTGGCTCTAGTGTAATGTGTAAATCATCCTTTAACTGTACGCAACGTAAAATTGTGGTTTGTTCACCCCGTTACGTTTACGTAAACCGTAACCGTAGGGTTATTTATGTTTATTGAAAGCTGTTTACTGCAGTCGTTCGTCTTTTGCTTCATATTATGGCCGCTGCTGTCTTTTTGATATCTTCATGTTGTGTTGTACTTCTACAATTATAGTTTTCTTTTATAGTTTTATTATTTTAATCATTTAAAGCGCGGGTAAGTTTACTATTTACTAAATTTTCCAACATTTCCTTAACGTCATCTTAACAATTTTATCAGAGAATGACCCCATAAAAGAAAGGTTGCAGTGCAGTTGGAGTAATTTATTTCTGAAGAACGTTAATCTGAACTCAATTTTTAGAGAGATGGCAGATTCTGCTAGCGAGTCCGATTCAAGTAGCATCGACGGAGGCCCTATTATGATGCCTCCTAGCCCCGTTACCAGAGAACAACTGCAAAAGCGCATAGAAAGTTTGCAACAGCAGAACAGGGTGCTGAAGGTGGAATTGGAAACGTACAAGTTACGAGTTAAGACTTTGCAAGAGGAGAATCGAAACTTACGTCAGGCTTCTGTTATCATTGTAAGTTTGTGTTTTGTTTTTTTATGTTCGTGACCTTTAACTTTTGGATTTGTTTGTATAATTGGGCCTTTTGAGTGCACCGTTATCTACATATGTTGCTGATTTTAATGTCTTTCGGAACTGTGTATCCTTATTGAGTAATTGGCATTTATTAACTTGATTAATTGCGCCGATGTGTGAGCACTATTCATTTGGTTATTAGCACTCATCTTAATTTAAAAAATTATGTCTCATGCTTTTGAGATGTAATAGTTTCTAGCACCTTCTATTTTGCAAGTTGCATAAGGAAGGATGACTCAAAGAACTGATCTTTAGCTTAATGTAAGTGGTGCGCAAAGATACGTACTCTGCTTGTATGCATGTCCGGAATCTCTTCTGTCTGTCATTTTTCGACAGAGGAGTTCTTCGCATCGAAACACAAAATGGTACATGCATCTACCAAAAAGGTTCAGAATTTGCGCTGTCAGTTACTTTTGGATGGTCACTTTTTGATTAGGCTTTTCATAACAGGTGGTAACAAATAATTATCGGGAAGATTTTCTGGTTAGAAAATTTGAGTGCGAGGTTGAGTGTGTGTGTGCAATAGTTATGCCAGACGGCCTCCAAATTTCTGGGTCAAAATTTTAAGTGCCAATACCCCGAGAGCAGAGTCTCAGAGAAGGTACTCACAAAGGAAAATAGGACATATGGATGACACATAATTTCGGCGTCACTCAAGCGACCCCACGCTTTATCTGCGCCAAAGTTGTCCACATTTATTGTTGTTTGTAACTGATTGGATAGTGGCGCTGCAATATTTTACAAATTTGTAGGTTATGTGCTGATTTACCATCGAATTGCAACAGTGTATAAATTGTGCAACTAGTTGATGCACCATTAAGGAGCACAAGTCGTCACTCTGATATAATTTTCGAACGTATTTGGTGAAATGGTATATACCTGATACCTACCATGTTTGTAACTGTCTATAGCAGGGATCCTCAGCCAGTGGGTCACGACCTCGAGGAGGTCGTGAAATATAAGGGAAAAATTAAAAACTATTACTCTCGCAATTACGTATTGTTATTCTTATTTATTTAACAAAAAAACACAAAACAACTATTATAGACGTTTTTATCATGTACGTACTAGGCTACTAGCAGCCCAGGCGAACTTGGTACTGCCTTTGGGAAAAGTCGTTTTCGTGGATGGGACATACGCTCGGTTTCGGCTGCTCACCTCACAGACTCACCGAACTTCATACCGATTTATTTATATAGAAACTTCGGCGGGCCATTACCCAAAGTTTCATCGCAATAGTATAAACGGTTTAGGCAGGCATAAGAGACAAACATTCATTTTTATTTATATAGATTTAAATAAATTATAATTCATAGGGGGAAATACTCAACTCAAAAACGCATTGCTTCAACTTAGTGACGGAAAAATGGAAAATTACAAAGCAATGTCTAAACCAGAACACACCTACTGAAATTACTTTACAATTTGAAAGAAGTGAAATGCCATTCCCATTAGTTAACACTTCGAAGCGCCACACCCACCATAGGTTACCAGGAAAATTTAAAGCCAACTGAAAGCTCTGCTATAAACATTATGTTAAAAACCGCAGTACGTAAGTAGCAGTACTTCTGGTCTAGCAATTAATGAACGTTTCACTTACACTTCCACGTAAGTAAAGTAAAGCTAAGGGAAATTTGACATGACGGGTAGTTTCATTTGAACTTAAAGTAAAAGAGTCGTTAAACGGAGAGCAGTGTGGAAAAGGTTGAGAACCACTGATCTATAGTGAAGAAATTTGAAGACACTAATACAACATTTTGCGAAGTTTTATCGATTGGATTACATAAGCATTCAATAAAGTTCATTGATTCTGAATTGCAAATGATGGTTTGTTATCAAGTCGCCTTGACATTGGAGTTTGTTAACATTCTTATTTGCAATTGTTTGTTAGCTATGGTTTTGTCGTAAATTTTTTGAAACCTTGATCAAGAGTATGAATCACGGTATGAATGGTATGTATGATAGGAAATATATCTTCGAATACATCGATTTATATTGTTTTAGCAATTATATTTTCTATTTCTCAATTAATTTGAAGTCCCCATATCTTTTGTTCTTTTTGACCTTCCCATATGAAAAACAAGAGTGTCCTGTCCTAATATTTAACATGGCTATTTGTATTTCGGAAGAAAGTACGTGATCTTACTTTTGGATTGCCTTTATATATTTTTTGTCCTTACTTTTCATGTGCATATAATTAAAAAAAATGTGTCAAATTCTTGACAGAACAGTTTTCTAACTCATACCGCGCCTTTGGCAGAGTTTTTTAAAAAATAAACATCGGGAAAAAACGTTTCCCACAAAAGTTTATTATTTTCCGATGTAGAGTAAGAATATTTAATAAATGGTATAGTTTTCCATTTGAAAAAATTAAGTTGCCCTTATGGGGCAGTTATGTGAACGTGCGCATAGCATCATTAAATGGGCCACTTCATATGAAGAAGGTTTTATATAAATCATTTTGTGATATCCATGTTGTCTCTGCAATAATCGACTGTCTCAAGATAAATGTAACACCCTGTATATAAATTAATTTTTGTGACATTCAAATATAAGATTATGAAACTGGTAGTCGCAACCGCAACTCAGAAGAGAAATGATCGCTACATCAGTTAAACCTCAATAGATCATCCCTTGAAACAGATATCTTTTCTGTGCGAAAATGCTTGCTTCATACCTATCGTATATGATTCGCTATTTATTATCGTTCTGTTCCGAATTCCGAATTAATAATTCTAATTAAGTCGCGATAGTCAATCATTTTTTTATGATATGCTCTCTCTTAAATACCTCGGGCCGGGCCCCACGTTGTTTCGCACTACTTTTTTACATTTGTTTGTGTTTATTACTAATAATACATTTATTGTCAAGCAAGTTTTTAAAGCACAGATAGGTACCACCCGCACACGTGCGCGTTCTGCCGAAAAGCTTTTCAGCTCTTCCTTTTATGTCTAAGGATATGTGTACCAAATTTGTTTTCAGCTGTTTAGCCCAAACTAAGGGTACAGACGGACTAACAGACAGACTGGTATAATCGAGATTTTGTTTGATTCAGAGATCTGTGGTGTTTAAAGACGTGTATTTCCGTAAAAAAAGTGAAAAAGTGGGGGGGGGGCATTTTTTATCTCAATGCATTAGTTCCCTTGCTAATGCGCGGGTGATCGTGTCCTGAGATAATTTAAAACAAGTACATGAAAGTCCTGTCCTTAGTTTTCTATTTGAGGGACTAAAAGAAAATGAGGGTTTAAAAGTGGAAGTAATCAATGAAACGTGCACCACGATTTACTGTCATCCCTTTTTTTTGGCGCATATCAACGGCTTTTTGAATAGTCATTTTACATAACCATTTTTAGCGCATTTTGTCTGTCTGTCTAGAGTTTTCATTGTGTATATTTAATTCGTTCTTTTGGAATTCGGTAGCTTATACCTCTGGCATGTGAGCCCAGACACATCTTGACGGTTAATGTGTGCATGCGCAAACTGCACAATGCTAATTTTCTTATTTTATTTTTCTTAAATTTTAACCACAGATGCTTCAAGTAAATGCAAACACATCTCATATAGTAAAAAATCAGATGCGCGCATGCGTACTGCAAAATTCCAACTTTTTTTATGTATACTATAGTAAATTTTTTTTGAAATTGTAACTACAGATGCTTCTGGTAAAGGTAAACCTATCGCATGTATTAAAAATCAAATATGCGCGTGCGCAGACTGCTATAGAGATATTTTATGAATTTTTTAATTCGGTGAAGTTTTGCTAATCTAGCAAAATATCATTTTTGAAATGTGTAATCATAATACTTAAAAGCAGTATTTCCTCACAAATTTTATGTTCAGTGTTTAATTTTAGCAAGCCAAAGCCGAGCAAGAGGAAGAATTTATATCTAACACTCTCCTGAAAAAAATTCAAGCTTTGAAGAAAGAGAAGGAGTCCTTGGCTCATCATTACGAACGCGAAGAGGAGTGCCTGACGAACGATCTTTCGCGAAAACTTACTCAATTGCGTCAGGAGAAATGTCGTTTGGAACAGACGCTCGAACAGGAGCAGGAGTGTCTCGTAAATCGGCTTATGCGAAAAATCGAAAAACTCGAAGCGGAAACTTTGGCGAAACAAAGTAACCTGGAGCAGCTTCGGCGTGAGAAAGTAAGTGGTGATCTAGTTGCGTTTGGACTGGAATTTCGTTTTTTTAGGTCGAGCTGGAGAATACTTTAGAACAAGAACAAGAGGCTTTAGTTAACAAGTTATGGAAGCGTATGGATAAATTAGAAGCCGAGAAGAGGATGTTACAAATTAAGTTGGATCAGCCTGTGTCAGATCCTGCCAGTCCGCGTGATATTAGTAATGGAGACAAGGCAAGTAATCTTAGTGCTCATATTCAAACTTTGCGAAATGAAGTGAATAGACTTAGACAAACGTTAGCAATTAGTCAACAAGAACATGCTGAAAAAATGCAACGCTACGCTCAAGAGGAACGTTGTATTCGTGAAGAGAACCTTAGGTCAGCCTATACTGCTGAAATACTATTTTACTTAACTATGTTGTTAGGTTACAAAGAAAATTACAGCTCGAAGTGGAAAGACGAGAGGCTTTATGTAGGCATCTGTCTGAAAGTGAAAGTTCTCTCGAAATGGAAGAGGAACGACATTATAATGAACAAGTTTTAGGTACTCGCCAACATACCGTGTCTCCTGTTCCGTATAATCCATCTCCGAGTCAAAGTCGTCCTTTGAGTCCAGGTAATTTTTATTTAACCTAAATTTTCTTGTACATTTCATCGCTTTTCAGGATTAACATTGCAAGCTCCTTCGCCCCGCGACTCTTTGATAGCTGTCCAACCTCGCTGTCATTCATGCGGTCAGTCTGTAAGTTCGTTACATCAAGTTGGATCTAGTAGTCCTCCCGCTCCCGCGCATCGCCGTACCAGTGAACGATTTATTAAACCCGCCATACCTGCTCCGCAGCCTGCTAGTCCCATGGATACCTCGATCAATAAGGATTAAAGGTAGTTAACGATTAGACTGTATGAACGGTATCATCACTAAACAGAAAATAATATATGAACAATACCATTGTGCAACATGTTCTTCTATTTATATTAATCGTGGGATTTACTTTGGAGTGGAAAAAACGTCCATTAAGCGGGGTTTGCTTAGGATGAGCCTTGCACTTTTGACGAGCTTAATCTGTTCCACGTTCGTGAATAAAGATCGGGGAAATCAAAAGATTATCAGTGATACGTCTGTAAGTTTTAGGGCGGCCGTACACTAGTCGCATTTTGCAGTTAAGGTAACCACAGAATTGTGGTCACGTCGACTGCACTGCGCGGTTGACCCAACAACATTTTTGTGGTTGAGTTGCGGTCATATATGAACCGCACTTCAATTAAGGCACGCTTTTTCGGAATGTTTTTTATATCATTGGAATGTTTTTTCCATTCCGGAATTTTATCGGAATGCTACCTTTTTTTTTAAATGGGATTAATTCGGATGGGTGGGATCATTTTGTTGATGATGCACTTCCACTAAATTAAGCAAAATTTTTCTTTTACTTTTATTGTCTCGGTTGCTAATAACAAGTTATTTGAGTACATCCCACTTTTGATGTAAAAGTTAGAGGAGAGAAGGATAGGGGGTAGTGTACACCCCTTAATTAAACACTATACAATTTAAAATGGGCCTTTATTGCACAGTAACTTGATAGACTGCTCTAATTCTTGATCATGTGTGGGTTGCGTGCCTTCATGCCCTGGTAATTTCACGTAGAAATGTGTGGGTGTGCAATGATTCCAAAAAATGGGGCAGAAAGGAAATAAAAAAATGTTCAAGAGATACACCTTCATCTGAACTCTCTATAAGAGAGATCAGTTTTAATTATGAAGCAATACCTCGTACTGCCATGGGACCCCTAGTTGAAAACGTCCCTCTCTGATTTGCCTTCTTAGTCGATCTACATTTCGGCGCGCAGGTTGTAATGTATCTACCTAAGTGATTCATGGAGTGCAGTTTCTTTCGCTGTCACTACATGCCATAGTATAAAACTATATGTACACATTACACAAAGAATTAATCACGCCCCTATTTGATGCAATTGTTTATATTTCAGACTAGAACAAGTACACATCATTAACTTGAACAACATGAAATTAATAAATGGCTCTTGAATGGATAGCGTTAGTTAAATAAGTTTTATAGAGTATTAATCATTTTGCTACATATAAACTTGTGTTTACACTGGCTTTAATTTAAATTTTTGTTACTTTCACATATTCTTACTAAAAATGCACTTGAATTGTAATAATACAATTCGGAAAGTATCTATACAAAATCAAAAGGAAATAGTTGTGCACATTATGCTTTAGCTGGTATTACAGTACTTAAACATTGCAATAACATTGTAGCTGTGCATGATTTTTATTAAGTCTTATGTAATATTGTAACAGTGTTCCATACATGAAGTTTCTTGTAACAGTAAGAATTTGTATATGTATCAGATATTGCCAATAACATTTACTGCCACATAGCGGAAAACAATTTTTCTTCATTGCCGTCTCGACTATGAAACCCCCAGTATTACGCATGCACACTAAGAAATAACGAAACTAATGAAAGGCATGCAGGATGTTCTTTAAATGCAGCTTGCAGTATTTTGATTCACCGAATTTTCATGTCTGCTGTAATTATGTAACATCCTGGAACTGCTCAAAGGCCTGATTGTTAAATACTTGTTTGTTGGCAAGAATTGTTTTTCTTCGTTATAAGGCGCTTACGTTTACATAAGGTTCTCATTTTAGGAAATGTAAGGATCGGTCTGGTAGTTTTAACATAAAAAATTCTATCACTATTTTCCAACGCAGTTAAAAATGTATAATCAATAATCTAAAGTAGGTTTATAACGACAATGTAATTGTCAGATTTGCCAAATAAATAGTGTTTTATTAATAAACCACAGGACTTATTGTAAGTCTGCTTTCCTATGTATGAGAATTTTTTTGTTAAATTTGCTTAGGTCAATATGTATGTAAAAGATGCTCAGCTTTTCCTTTCATTAGAAAATCAAGTGTTAAATGCATTCTCTCGTTGTTTAACTCTCTCGGTAGAGTAAAATCTCAGTAATCCAACTTTGTGTAATTGCATGTGAAGGAGCTATTAGTGAGGTTTTACTGTACCTACGAAGAAACCAAAACCATTTGTAGCAATATATTTTGGGTTGAAATGTATTTTTGGCCGACATTGTTATTCTCCAAAAAACTGTCGTGAATTAGGACAGCAAAAAAAGTGATATTAGGTGTAAATTTTGCATTCTTGTTGGATCTTTGGCTGTGTTCTGTATGATTGTAGTTTCTTATTAATTATACAGTACATCGGATTTGCGCATTGCTATAATATGACTTGAAAATACAACAAGATTTAAATGTTCTGTATGTCTAATTTCAGTTGTCATATTGTATTGATGTAGTTACAGAATTGTTCTTTTGTTGTCTCCATGTTGTTACGTAGGGGTTATTTTTCTGTAGTTTAACTTAGAATTACAGTTTTATTTAATAATTATTAAAAGTACTGTCGCATATTGGTTTTCTTTCTATTTATGTAATTTTGAGTGATATTGCGATGCTGTATTGGTAGAAATAAAAGGTTTCAGCTATTTGTACAATTTAAGGTTGTGCCCTTATTTTTTTTTACTTGCTACAAGATGTACAAGATCTTCCAATAAATTTATTCCACAAATAAAATACATTTGGATCAATTTGTTTGTAGGACCTCAGAAACGAGAAGATGAGAGCCTAGTTTCCAGTCGGGGAAATTTAAGTACAATAAATCAAAATACATGTTAAGTAGGTTTTATTGTATTTAATAGCTCAGACTTATCGCCATTTTATATGGAAAAGAAAAAATTGTACTCGCTGTAAATTGAATTAAAAATGTGTGAAAGTAGATTTGCACTTCATAGCAGGAGCATGGTTCGAGTAATGGTGCTTCATATGGTATGGTGCTTTGTTAATCACGCTTAATAAAAGTTTGAAGTTAATTCTTTTTTTATATATACCCCTCCATTTTTATTAGCTTTTATATCATAAATGTATGTATGGTTCTTAAAAATAGAGGTACTACTATTATTATGCTTAGACAATTATTTACATCATAATGGTAAATATGGTACCGCTTTTTAAATGATGTGATTTTTATGACAAATGCGTCGGATAATTTGAATCCTGTGTGCCCATCTGAGGACCCAGCACGGGGGCAACTTCACTCGGACGAGTGTATTGTTTTTTGTTATTACGATCAAAATGCATCATTCGACATGGGTGTGCAAAACTTGCACCAATGGATACTGGTGTA